CATAATCATGTTTCATAAATAATTAGGTAATCATTTACTAATCACGTGTAATGGAAATTGCAAAAAACATACATAAAATGTTAGTATATCACTTGTTAATCATTTATGCATGTTTTGTAAATGATTAGTTCATCATTAACTAACCACTTATTAATGGCCTATAACTGAACATTATTATTAAGTGTTACCCAAGTCTCTATACATTTTTACTATATTTTATCATTTAATCACTTCACATTTAATCTCCAGATTAATGTAGAAAAACATAAAATAACTAAATATATTTATTTTATATAGAGACAATATATTTTAACTACTTGTTTAATGACATATTTTTTGAAGGCCAGTATCACTGATACTAATAAGCCTACTGATGTCTTGATAAATATGGGAAATAAAAAGAAATTGAATAAAGCGTACAACACTCTGCACTGCATAATGTATAAATTAGATATAAATGAATCCTTTTTAAAGCTACAAAAGTTCTTTAGTTAGGAGCAGTGAGTAATGTTCTCTGTTCCAACGTTACATTCTAATAATACAAATACATTTATTTACATAATATAATACTTACATAAATGTCACTGCAGATTAAGTATTTTCAAAAACAATATTCACAGTATAAGTATGAACTGTAGCTGAAATATAGCCATTGATTGATGCATGAGGTCCACTACAGTGGACAGATGATTAATCAGATTTTTCTCCCAATCTAAAATCAAAACTTGGAAAATTTAACTGTGATATGATTAATTAGATATTGCTTGATGCTGCAATATGTTTTTATCTTCAAGAGTCTCCTAGGAAAAAAGGAATGGTTGGACTAGCCGAGGTGGGCTGGTCCAGGCGGTGTACTTCAGCGCTGATCCCTTAGATCTCACATCTCCGAAAACGTCAGATCATAATTTTAAATAGGCGCTATCTGTATAAACAAACAACATATTTGAGATTGAAAACAACTTCATTGTCGACTGAAAAACTCTTAAAACTACATTTCATACACAATAACAGTAGTATTTTTAAATTTCGCGGTGTTTCTCCTCTGCTATTGACGCAACTTGAGATTTTAAATATTAGATATAGAATATACACAATTTACATATACAATATGCAATTTAATTTAATCTTACCTTGCATATAGCAACGGGAGTTAGCATTATACATAAAGCTACCACATAATAACACTAAAACAGCTACGTTTTACGTAGCTACAAGTTACTTGTAGCTACGTATCACGTTAGCTACAAGTTATCGCGAGAACAGATTCAGATCAGGCATACTACTGGCATACTAATGGGGTCCTACGCCCGGACTATTCACACCGAGTAACCCGATTATTCACCACACCGGCTCCAAGTCTGCAGCCTCCCCCTACTCCGTACAGCGGTTATACCCATAGACATAATAAATACATAGACGCCCTATTGGCCGCTGGAGCGTACGTCAACGGCGCCGCCATGTTGGGGATGCCAACTTTCCTATACCTCTCATACCGGGAATTGAGAAAAATGCCTGTTTTGTGCGCTGCTTGGGGCTGTACACATCGCCACACAATTGAAAACAGCTTTCGAGGAATTACCTTTCACAAGCAAGACTGAACGTTTGTTTTTGGTTGTATTTGGTCATGATTTAATTAGTAATAGTAACGTTCAGAGGTTACATTTAAAAATACTACTGTTATTGTGTCACGAAATGTAGTTTTAATAGTTTTTCAGTCGACAATGTAGTTGTTTAAAGCTCAAATCTGTGGTTTGTTTATAAAGATAGCGCCTATTTAACATTTTGATCTGACGTTTTCGGAGTTGTAAGATGCTATCACCGGGGCTCAGCGCTCGTCTACCCCGCCTGGAACAGCCGTACCTCGGCCAGTGCTTCTGAAGTTTTGCCGCTGACTCGGATGTCTGTAGTCTAGTGGTTAAACATCAGATATAATTCGTCTTGTGTATATCTAACGGGGGATCTGGTCTCATTAATCTATAAATGGTTCCCTAGTAAATCGTTTTTGCTGAGGGCAAAGTGAAGTTTCATAACTTTATATTTAGGCTATTTTAACGTTGTATCCTGCTGTATGTTTGACTGAAGCTACTTCTGTTATAATGGCTATTACTGATCAATAAAACTGAAATTTAACAAAAAGAGTTAAATATTAAAATGTCACTATTTAACTTATAGTTAAATAAATTGCACTATAGTTGTACCGTAACATATGTATTATCATAAAGGATCCATCAGTTATCTTTGTCATTGCTAAAATCTGGTCAATTACAAAAAATGCTTTTTCCATAATAAGAAAACTTAAATTATATCTCAGTAATGGGGGTCTTCACCATTCTTATCCAAGAATAAAAAGCCAAATACATGACAAGCCTGAGCTTTGACCATTCTTTATTAAAAAAAAAATATTTTACAAGTCTAACTACTCGTGAGCTTAGAATTATAAGGTTCTATCTCCACTTTTGGTCGAAATTGAGTTTTTGACATAATCTGATCCATTAGGTGTTTATTAATGCCTGTGTGGTGTTATTTTTGTAAAAAAAAAAATATATTTTGTTAGTAGTTATTAATAAAATAAAAAGGTTCCATCTCACAAAACATAAACCGAGTTGGGATTATAAGGTTCTATCTCCAGTAGATTCAATATCCAATCAAAACCCTGAATGAACACGGACGGACCAATCAAAACCCACCTCTTAGCTCTGTAGCCTGGACACAGAGCTAAGGGCTGGACATTAGCCTGGACATTTGAAGCCGGCGATGGCGCCCAAAAGACGTAAATGAACAGACGCCAGCACTATTTTTCTTTTTCTCTCTTTCCAACTAATCTTTCTTTCTTTCTAAATAATCTTTCTTTCTTTCTTTCTTTCTTTCTTTCTTTCTTTCTTTCTTTCTTTCTTTCTTTCTTTCTTTCTTTCTTTCTTTCTAACTAATCTTTCTTTCTAACTGATCTTTATTTCTTTCTAACTAATCTATCTATTAACTTTCTTTCTTTCTAGCTAATCTTTCTTTCTTTCTTTCTTTCTTTCTTTCTTTCTTTCTTTCTTTCTTTCTTTCTTTCTTTCTTTCTTTCTTTCTCTCTACCTAATCTGTTTTTCTTTCTCTCTCTTTCTAACTTTTCTTTCTTTCTAACCTTTCTTTCTAACCTATCTATCTTTCTGTCTAACTAATCTTTCTTTCTTTCTTTCTTTCTTTCTTTCTTTCTTTCTTTCTTTCTTTCTTTCTTTCTTTCTTTCTTTCTTTCTTTCTTTCTTTCTTTCTTTCTTTCTTTCTAACTAATCTTTCTTTCTTTCTTTCTTTCCAACTAATCTTTCTTTCTTTCCAACTAATCTTTCTTTCTTTCCAACTAATCTTTCTTTCTTTCTTTTTTCTTTCTAACCAATCTAACTAATCTTTCTTTCTTTCTTTTTTCTTTCTACCTTATTTTTCTTTCTTTCTTTCTTTCTTTCTTTCTTTCTTTCTTTCTTTCTTTCTTTCTTTCTAACCTATCTATCTTTCATTCTAACTAATCTTTCTTTCTGTCTTTTTTCTATCTATCTTTTTCTTTTTCATTTTCGTTCTACCTAATTTTTCTTTATTCTTTCTTTTATCTATCTATCTATCTATCTATCTATCTATCTATCTATCTATCTATCTATCTATCTATCTATCTATCTATCTATCTATCTTTCTTTCTTTCTTTCTTTCTTTCTTTCTTTCTTTCTTTCTTTCTTTCTTTCTTTCTTTCTTTCTTTCTTTCTTTCTTTCTTTCTTTCTTTCTTTCTGTCTTTCTGTCTTTCTAACATTTCTTTCTAACCTTTCTTTCTAACAGAACAGAACCTGATTCTGAAAAGTTCAGAACAGAACTTTTTTTCAGAACCAGAACAGGCCTTTTTGTTGATTTTTGTTCAACATAACTTTAACTTTCATTATGTTACACAATATTTTGTATGTTTTAATCTACTAAATGAACCGTTTTTAATGTATGTAAGATGCTTCCTAAATGTTTTTACAGTACAGAGGAGTGGGGTGTAGTATTGTGAAGAAAATATTTTTTGTTTAGCTGTAATTTTTCCATGTCCATGTTCTTTAAAAATATATATATATTTTTTTTTTACAAACTTGCTTGGCTTTGATGTATACTATTATATATTATATTATATAATACAAGCTGTGTGCTTGTATTATAAATATATAAATTGATTAAAATCAATGGTTATATACATTTAGTCTTTGAAATGTGGGGTTTTATTTGTAAAAGTGGAGAAAGAACCTTATAATTCCAAACAGAATCAGAGCTCTCAGAATTATAAGTTTCTATCTCCATTTGGACCATCTTAAAAAATCCCATTTCCAAATGTTGTAGTGTTGCAACTGCTTTTACTTCATTTGGAACTGTTTTTGTTGATGGAGCAAACACACACACTAGGAGTTAGAAGTAATTGGAAATGTGTCTTGAACGAAATTTACTCAATATAGAGTGCCTTAGTGCCTGCCCACTTTTTCAGCTTTGGTTTGGTTCTGGAATTATTTTTCCCATAACGTCTTTTGCAAAGCCTCATGGGAGTGGATGGGTGTTAAAGAGTTTTTGTTTGTTTGTTTGTTTGTTTTTTACATGATTTGCTTGTACTATTTGCTTTCTCTGATTAGTGGAGATTTCGCTGCAGAATCATGGGTAATGTAGTTTTTCACAAGAAATTCTGCTGTCGAACACGATTTTTTTTTTTAAATAATGAAGGCTGATGATCAGCAGCACATATCATTGATTAACAACCTCTTAGTTAGGTCTTTAAAGTTTGTCTTTAAAATTTATTTTAAAAATCAATTACCGTATGCAGAAAATAAATAAGAAATGAGGTCTCCGAAACACAACATTTTCCACAAAACTTTTTTTTTCATCGAACAATTGAATAAAAAATATCCCATTTGCAGTTGCGCTGTTCATCTGAATATCAGCACTCTTGTTTGTGTGGGATGTTGCTTATGTACGTTCATATTCATAACCCTACCATTGGCTTCACTATTAGGTTAAAAGCAGTGAGGTGCCAACTAACCAAACAGACAAAAAAGCTGCAGCGCTGGCTGAAAAGGCAGAGCGTCGTCGTCTGGAGGTGGAGAAGAAACGGAGGGAGAGAGAGGAGGAAAAGAAGAGACAGCAAGAAAAAGAAGCGACAGAAGAAATGATGAGGCTGGAACTGGAAGAAGAACAGAGGATGAGAGCAGAGGAAGCGAGGTACAACGTGTTACTGCTTTTTGGAAACAAATAACAAAATACAATATACCGCAAACACTGGCAAGAAACTAACACTGTGATATATGCAGGTTACGGAAGATTAGAGAAGAAGATGAGAGTCGAAGAAGGCAAGAGGAGGAGATGGAGAGACAGAGGAGAGAGCAGGCAGAGAAGGACAGAGAAAGAAGACAACACGAGGAGAAGAAGAGGCTGCTGGAACGGCTCCAGAGAGAAAGACAGGAAAAGGAGAAACGGCAGGCTGGTAAATATCAGTGTAGTAATGATTTATAATTGGTTGGGGCCCTTAACAGGTGACAATCTTGATTCCATAATATCTCTTGGAGTGAATTCTTGTAGTGTGTGACCCTATATTTTTTATAAAACTTACCCACATTCAAGTGTTGATTAAAAATAATAAAATGTTTTTTGTTTGTTTGTTTGTTTGTTTAAAAGCAGAAGTTCTGTTCTTTATTTTGATATATTATGCATGTTCAGATATTCATACAACAAAATATTCAGGGGGCCATGAAAATTTGTGAAAATGATCAATGCTGGCTCTGACTGCCATCCATCCATCCATCCATCTTCTTCCGCTTATCCGGGGCCGGGTCGCGGGGGCAGCAGTCTGAGCAGAGATGCCCAGACTTCCCTCTCCCTGGACACTTCCTCCAGCTCTTCCGGGGGGACACCGAGGCGTTCCCAGGCCAGCCGGGAGACATAGTCTCTCCAGCGTGTCCTAGGTCTTCCCCGGGGTCTCCTCCCAGTGGGACGTGCCCGGAACACCTCCCCGGGAAGGCGACCAGGAGGCATCCGGAACAGATGCCCGAGCCACCTCAGCTGACCCCTCTCGATGTGGAGGAGCAGCGGCTCTACTCTGAGCTCCTCCCGAGTGACCGAGCTTCTCACCCTATCTCTAAGGGATCGCCCAGCCACCCTGCGGAGAAAGCTCATTTCGGCCGCCTGTATCCGGGATCTTGTCCTTTCGGTCATGACCCAAAGCTCATGACCATAGGTGAGAGTAGGAACGTACACTCACCGGCCACTTTATTAGGTACACCTGTCCAACTGCTCGTTAACACTTAATTTCTAAGCAGCCAATCACATGGCGGCAACTCAGTGCATTTAGGCATGTAGACATGGTCAAGACAATCTCCTGCAGTTCAAACCGAGCATCAGTATGGGGAAGAAAGGTGATTTGAGTGACTTTGAACGTGGCATGATTGTTGGTGCCAGAAGGGCTGGTCTGAGTATTTCAGAAACTGCTAATCTACTGGGATTTTCACGCACAACCATCTCTAGGGTTTACAGAGAATGGTCCGAAAAAAGAAAAAACATCCAGTGAGCGGCAGTTCTGTGGGCGGAAATGCCTTGTTGATGCCAGAGGTCAGAGGAGAATGGCCAGACTGGTTCGAGCTGATAGAAGGGCAACAGTGACTGAAATAACCACTCGTTACAACCGAGGTATGCAGCAAAGCATTTGTGAAGCCACAACACGCACAACCTTGAGGCGGATGGGCTACAACAGCAGAAGACTCCACCGGGTACCACTCATCTCCACTACAAATAGGAAAAAGAGGCTACAATTTGCAAGAGCTCACCAAAATTGAACAGTTGAAGACTGGAAAAATGTTGCCTGGTCTGATGAGTCTCGATTTCTGTTGAGACATTCAGATGTTAGAGTCAGAATTTGGCGTAAACAGAATGAGAACATGGAACCATCATGCCTTGTTACCACTGTGCAGGCTGGTGGTGGTGGTGTAATGGTGTGGGGGATGTTTTCCTGGCACACTTTAGGCCCCTTAGTGCCAATTGGGCATCGTTTAAATGCCACGGCCTACCTGAGCATTGTTTCTGACCATGTCCATCCCTTTATGGCCACCATGTACCCATCCTCTGATGGCTACTTCCACCATGTCACAAAGCTCTAATCATTTCAAATTGGTTTCTTGAACATGACAATGAGTTCACTGTACTAAAATGGCCTCCACAGTCACCAGATCTCAACCCAATAGAGCATCTTTGGGATGTGGTGGAACGGGAGATTCGCATCATGGATGTGCAGCCGACAAATCTGCGGCAACTGTGTGATGCCATCATGTCAATATGGACCAAACTCCCTGAGGAATGCTTCCAGCACCTTGTTGAATCTATGCCACGAAGAATTGAGGCAGTTCTGAAGGCAAAAGGGGGTCCAACCCGTTACTAGCATGGGGTACCTAATAAAGTGGCCGGTGAGTGTAGATTGACCGGTAAATCGAGAGCTTTGCCTTACGGCTCAGCTCCTTCTTCACCACAACAGACCGGTACATCGACCGCATTACTGCAGAAGCTGCACCGATCCGTCTGTCAATCTCCCGTTCCATCCTTCCCTCACTCGTGAACAAAACCCCAAGATACTTAAACTCCTCCACTTGAGGAAGGATCTCTCCACCAACCTGAAGTGAGCAAGCCACCCTTTTCCGACTGAGGACCATGGCCTCGGATTTGGAGGTGCTGATTTTCATCCCAGCCGCTTCACACTCGGCTGCAAACCGTCCCAGTGCATGCTGAAGGTCCTGGTGTGAAGGGGCCAACACGACAACATCATCCGCAAAAAGCAGCGACGAAATCGCGTGGTCCCCAAACCTGATACCCTCCGGCCCCTGGCTGCGCCTAGAAATTCTGTCCATAAAAACTATGAACAGAACCGGCGACAAAGGGCAACCCTGCCGGAGTCCAACATGCACCGGGAAGAAGTCTGACTTACTACCGGCAATGCGAACCAAGCTCCTGCTTCGGTCATACAGGGACCGGACAGCCCTTAGCAAAGGACCCCGGACCCCATACTCCCGGAGCACCCTCCACAGGCCGCCGCGAGGGACACAGTCGAATGCCTTCTCCAAATCCACAAAGCACATGTGGACTGGTTGGGCAAACTCCCATGAACCCTCCAGCACCCTGTAGAGAGTATAGAGCTGGTCCAGTGTTCCACGGCCTGGACGAAAACCGCACTGTTCCTCCTGAATCCGAGGTTCCACTATCGGCCGTATTCTCCTCTCCAGTACCCTGGCATAGACTTTCCCAGGGAGGCTGAGAAGTGTGATCCCCCTGTAGTTGGAACACACCCTCCGGTCCCCCTTCTTAAAAAGAGGGACCACCACCCCGGTTTGCCATCCCAGAGGCACTGTCCCCGACCGCCACGCGATGCTGCAGATGCGTGTCAGCCAAGACAGCCCCACAACATCCAGAGACTTGAGGTAATCAGGGCGGATCTCATCCACCCCCGGTGCCTTGCCACCGAGGAGTTTCTTGACTACCTCGGTGACCTCAGCTAGGGTGATGGACGAGTCCACCTCTGAGCCCTCAGCCTCTGCTTCCTCAATAGAAGACGTGACGGCGGGATTGAGGAGATCCTCGAAGTATTCCTTCCACCGTCCGACGACATCCCCAGTTGAGGTCAACAGCCGCCCACCTCCACTGTAAACAGCGTTGGTAGGGCATTGTTTCCCTCTCCTGAGGCGCCGGACAGTTTGCCAGAATCTCTTCGAGGCCAGCCGATAGTCCTTCTCCATGGCCTCACCGAACTCCTCCCAGGCCCAAGTTTTTGCCTCCACAACCACCCGGGCTGCAGTCCGCTTGGCCTGCCGGTACCTGTCAGCTGCCTCAGGAGTCCCACAAGCCAACCAGGCCCGATAGGACTCCTTCTTCAGCTTGACGGCATCCTTTACTTCCGGTGTCCACCACCGGGTTCGGGGATTGCCGCCTCGACAGGCACCGGAGACCTTACGGCCACAGCTCCGAGCAGCCGCTTCGACAATGGAGGTGGAGAACATGGTCCACTCAGACTCAATATCTCCAGCCTCCCTCGGGATCCGGTCGTGGCTCCGCCGGAGGTGGGAGTTGAAGATCTCTCTGACAGGAGACTCGGCCAAACGTTCCCAGCAAACCCTTACAGTACGCTTGGGTCTGCCGAGTCTGTCCAGCCTCCTCCCCCGCCATCGGATCCAACTCACCACCAGGTGGTGATCAGTTGACAGCTCCGCCCCTCTCTTCACCCGAGTGTCCAAGACATACGGCCGCAGGTCAGATGAAACGACCACAAAGTCGATCATCGACCTGCGACCTAGGGCGTCCTGGTGCCACGTGCACTGGTGGACACCCTTATGCTTGAACATGGTGTTCGTTATGGACAAACTGTAACTAGCACAGAAGTCCAATAACTGAACACCGCTCTGGTTCAGGTCGGGGGGGCCGTTCCTCCCAATCACGCCCCTCCAGGTGTCACTGTCGCTGCCCACGTGAGCGTTGAAGTCCCCCAGTAGAACGACGGAGTCCCCAGTCGGAGCACTTTCCAGCACTCCTCCCAGAGACCCCAAGAAGGCCGGGTACTCTGCACTGCCGTTTGGCCCGTAGGCACACACGACAGTGAGAGACCTATCCCCGACCCGTAGGCGCAGGGAAACGACCCTCTCGTTCACCGGGGTAAACTCCAACACATGGCGGCTGAGCTCTGACTGCCAATTTATTTATTTTTTTATACTTGCGGGGAAAGAGTTAAAGTATAGGCATATTTCAAGTATAAATTAATTCCTAAATAGAAACATATCATTATCCTTAAAGTGCAAAAATAATATATAAATAGTAAACTACAAGTATGATTTTAAGTATAAAAATAGCCTACTTCAAAGTGTACTTTAATGAACTAAAATATGCCCTACAAATATTTAATTAGTAAACTATCTGTATACCTAAGTTCACTTGTAGTATAGTTGCAGTACAAACGAAAAATGTAGTTGTAAACTTGTGTACTCAAAGTTAACTACTGTTACACCTTAGAGTACACTTAAAAAGTATACTTTTAAACACTAAAAAATGGGCCAATTTAGTTCCTAAGTAGAATTGAAATAGTACACTTACTATTAGCACATTGATATTACCATACTTACTATAAAGCATACTCAAAAATATACTTGAACTTTACTTAAGTCTCCTTAATAAAATTAACTTGAAGTATACTTATTTTTGTAAGGGTATGCCTACTGCCTATTCAGCTCACTAGGCTTTGTAACAGAGCAGCCTACATTATAGTTAACACCCTACTGTTGATTTAATATGTACAGAGCAACTGTTTGTGCTTTAATGTGGCCATGGTCTGGATTTCAGCCTTGACAATAGCGATACTGACCGCAGTACTAAGGCCCTGTCCCAAAAACGGCACACTTGCGGTCTTGTATCCTTTACTTGTACATGTACATGAAGTCAATGAAACGATAGGACGTTCCACTGGTCATTTTATGATTCAAGAGGGTGCTCACGGTGGCTCTACATGCCAAACCTGCAGACTATTACACAACAGTCTACGACTTTACACAGCATTACATCAAGTGTGCATTTGGTGAAGAAACACATCGCTGATTATGCATCCTACTACATTAAAATGTAAATATCCTGCAAACATAATGCTTTATGAATAAGTAAACAAATGAATGAATGACTTTCCTCATTGTCAGCTGAACTGGAACGCCAGCGTTTGGAAGAGGAAGCTCGTAAGGAGGAGGAGCGCAGGAAGCTGTCAGAGATGGATGATGCTGAGAGACTGGAGTACCTGCGAAAACAGCAGGAGGAGGAGGAGGAGAGAAGGAAAGCTGCTGAGGAGAGGAGGAGAAAGGAGGAGGAAGCAGCGATGCACGCTGAACAGGAGGCCAGACTGCACGCTGAGCTGTTTGCCAGGTATGTCACGCTACAACAAACACGTTCATTCAGAACTCCAACAATGTTTCATCAACTAAGGTTCCTTCATGTGAGAACATTAACGCTATATGTAACTTTTGGCTATATGTAATATGTAAGTTATATGCGGAGGAACATTTTGGTAATTATGTGAGTTGTGCTTCGGCTCTGCTATTATGTGTGAATGAATCTGATGCCTTAAAGGTAGGTTAGGCATTTTTGGAGAGGCTAGCAATAGCAAGCTAGCTTTGAAAGCATACAATTCCACCCTCCCTTCAGAGGCCACGCCTCCTCCAAAACACATGAACGCGTACAGCAGTCTGCAAAGCATCACGAGACATTTTTTGGTCCTGAGACTTCCACAGAAGATATACGTATGGTCATGTTTTAATATTTAGACCACTTCTATTATTGATTGCTATCAGCATGTAAAGAGTTTCAACCAATATAACAAAAAGTGTTTATAAAAAAATTGCCTACCCTAAGCTTTAAGTTGAGGCGCATGATTACAGACGATTACAGACAAAAAAATCTTCTATCCTCTCACTATTCCTTTCTTGTACTATTCTGAACGGTGTCTAAGACTTTATATCACAAGCACCTCATGTTTATTGCCTCTTTAAGCGGAATCGCTTGTTGTAGGCTATATTCCTCATTTGTAAATTAAATGTAAATTCCTCGCTTTGCATTAAAGGTGAACTATGCAGGTTTTTTACCTCAACCGAACAGCTTCGGAGTCATTGGAATGGTTATATTACTCTTTCCGGGTTGAATGGTGGTCGTTTCGCACCCCCCTATCGCATGTGAGCGTAAAAATCACACTTGCAACTTTGAGCCGGCGGGCCGCCGGCCGCAGCATCAGGAAGTGTCGCGTGATATCAGGTCTCGCGATGTAACAAATTGCTTTACGGCAAAAAACAGATCTGATAAAATTCTAATAAAATGAGCATCAAACAGAAATAACCCGGCGCCGTATACATGTGGTGTTCGAGGCGCACATACAATACAGACTGCCGACAGTTAAACAGGGCGCGCGCAGCTCTTAAAGGGGCCATACCTTATTTCCACTCGTTACAGCTTCCATCCTACTGAACAGGTACCGGTGTACAGGGATCCGGCCGTGAGTGCGAGCCATCTCTGCCTGCGTGAGTGCTATTCACGACAGTACAAGTACTCCACAGCGACTCTAGGGGTCGCTGTTTGACAAAAACGGAATTCCTACTTAGTGCTGCTTTAAAGTAACATAAGTTGTTACATTATAGGCAACTTTGACATTAGATAGAGAATGTGATTTCATGTTGACTCGTCACTCTGTTGAGAATCATGTGTGTTCACCGTGAACATACTCTGAGTTGACTAAACTTACTCCCACACACTTTTTTTTTAAACCAGCATGCCTCAATTAAGCAAGGTTTGGTTTAATCATCCGAGAGTTGAGGCATTTAGGGTTTGTTTGACGGTAAGATAAACTTGCTTTCTGGAATACCCCCCCAGACCTTCTTTCCTTTATTTACGGCTATGACATACGTAAACCCACAGGAATGAATGATGATGCAGTCTCCTGGGAAATCCGCCCTGAGAGCTCTAAAATATAAATAACTATTATAGGCTCACCATTGTGGTTTAGGGTAAGGTAAAACACGGTATGGAAAATGGCTTTATGATGTACTCACTCATTATTGACATTTTATTATTTTTTTTACATTGTGTGGCGTTCTCACATGAAGGATTTTTGATACAGATCAGCTCTATTAGCATCCATTAAAATGGTCAGCATACACTGCATTGGTTAAAAATCTCCTTACATTTTTCTATATAATATTGCAGTATAATATTGCTATTTTTCAAACTGTGCAGGAGCTTTATGTGAAGTAAAGTGTATTTCTCTGTACGACAGGCAGAGGGCAGCACTGGAGCAGCAGTTAACGTTTCACAGGGGTCTTTTTGTGGAGGCAAAAGGGCTTGAGCAGACGCAGGATATTTCCCGTCCCTGGCTTTTCTCCTATTTCACCCTGTTGAAGCTGCTTGGCTTGGCTGAGCCCACATCTGAGGACACACTCAACGATGTGCTGTGATTCCTTCTTTTGACCCTCACCACACCAGCGCTTACAGCTAGTATTTCAGTTATGTGAACAATCTGCCACATGTGGAAATCTGCTGGATTGCTCACATCATTTCAGATGTCATATGACTCATATCAGCACTTTTGAATTGCGCCTGCTCAAACCGGATTTTTCTTCATTTCTGTCTAAAAATTTAGTCCTAGCCCAATGCATACCCCTAAACCTAACCCTTCCCATAATTATCCCTAAAATCAGAGGGAATTGATAGGTGAATAACATGTAGAAGCACCTAACTCTGGTTGTAAGTCTAAACTTGACATAAAATAAACTTGTCCCTCAAACCTGATTGGTTGATGGGAATGTTGTTCCAGGATCAACAAAGATGTTGATCCAGGAACATGTTGCACTTGGTGAAATCAGTCATAGAAAGAAGGCGTCATAGAAGTTGAGAGAACCACTGTCTGGCATTGAGTGAGCAGCGCCCTCTACTGTTTGCCTTTTTAACAAGATGAGAGATTTGTTCAGGTATATTATCATATTTTATATGTAGTTAATTTGGCAATTGACTCTATAGCAGAATAAAAGTATCTAGGTGTGTAAGTTCACAGCACAGACCTTGAGTTACACAACAGCTAGTGGATTAAAAAGACTAGCAGGTCATTTAATTATCATTAGCAGTGTGAAGATGAAAAGGTCAAAAGACCCAAAATATCTGTTAGTGAAAGACGATGGCCAAACATCAAAATGCAGATCAGTCTTCATGAGGTCATGAAAACAGTAAAAATAGAAAACTTTATAAAGAATTTGTAAAAAAAAATCAATTAACTTAACATCATGATTGAGTGGCAGATGATGATGACAATTTTCTTCATGCAGCACCACATATACAAACACATACTGTACATACATACATATTCTATTTGCTTTAAAAGCTTTCAGTGCTTGGAGCTAGATGTGGAATACAATTTTTTCTATAAAAAAAATATAGAATAAAATCAGCCTTTTTATCAGATTATGTGAAGGAATAATCAACAGATTAATGGATTATCGTTAGTTGCAGCCCTAGATATTGTGAATTATTATATTATTTAACTAGCCAACAATGGTATTAGTGGATGCAGACAGTAAATATGTATTGATTTGCAAGTTAGCAAAGATAAAACAGTAAACAAAGCATATACTTGCACGCTTTAAAATAAATAAAAATTATTTGTTCATTTTCTTTTGTCATAGGAGAAAAGTCAAAAGGCAGTAATGATTGACGATCACTACATAAAACTTAGCGTAACCTACAATGTGTCTTTGCTTTCTTCTTTTCAGCTACTCAATGTTTCTAGAAAGAAACTTTAAGTTTCTTTTCGTCCTTGGAATCTGCAATTACAAAATCAAGACAGGTTAAAAACAGAATTAATTTTATAATTTGAGCAGATCTTTTGTTTTATTTGGTCAGCTACTGGACATTTACCGAGCTAGAAAAAGAACAAGAAAAGGATGAAAAATAAAACAAATAAGAATCTAAACAACTATATGTATGTGCATCTGAATATTCATTCTCCAACCGGATTTAATCAGATTCCAAACAGAGTTATTTAGTAGATTCACAACCAACCAAATGCTTCTTCACAGGCCGCACTCCAATAAAACTGGCTTGTGCTCTAGTCTGTGGAGGCAGGAAACGCCACCAAAGCAGTTGAGCACTTCAAAAATAAGACACTTTAGTGAACAAAAGAAAGGAGTCAATGCAAGAATGGTATGTTCACTTTAAAGATAAATTTCAACACAGATTCATTCATGAACCCAGTTCCTAACAGTGATGCTGGCCTTAACAAACACCACTACATACACACAAAGATGAGTAATTTACTACATACATGTGTACTGTATATATACATAGAGGAATAAATGAAGATGATAATGATAATTGGAGAATTATATAATACATGTAACATAGAGCTCTAACTGACTTCTGCTGATATCAAGTGTTGTTTACATTTAAATGATCCTCAACATTCTATGTCAGTCCAGTAGCTTGAGTTGATTTTTGAAATCAACACAACTGTTTCTGAAGCCTTGAAGCCTGAACACACTTGCTGCAAGCTCTTCACAACTCTACAATTTGATACGTCTTAGTGATTTGTCCAGTCTTTGTAGTTCTTCTTGATTCATTATCATGGAGCAGCGTCGGTCAAGAAGAACCAGGGCTCTTCCCGCACACCTGAGGGGATTCTTGGTGGAGGACGTCTCTTCCAGTCCAGACCCCTGTGAGCTTTCACAGCTGGCAGCTGTAACATCAGTCAGGTTAGATCACACTTACAGCTGTATCTCTGCCAAAGCTCAAAGACCCACAGGTTTGGAAGAGCGCTACCTGAAGAACGCTGCTGTCCTTCCCGACATCCGTCCAGCAGTCTCAGTCTCTTCAGTGGACGTGTGTCAGCAGGATGAGCCTGTCTCCATCCACGGCTACAGCGTACAGGCCTACCAGGACATCTACCGCTCTGTGGTGGAGCCCATGATGAAGACACGCAGTGGTCGGCGGCGTCCCTACAGTCTTAAACTAGGACTGAAGATCAAGCAGCGACTGTGGGAGACACTCAACTGCCCTTCACTGGTGGAGTCGGAGCATCCTGATGGACGTGTCCTGATCACTGAGAGCTTCTCCACAACCAGCAGAAGCCTCGCTCCTCGAATCCACGTGGACATCAGCGAAGAGCCCCTGCCTGAGGAACCCCGAAGAAAGAAGCCCAGACACTGAGTCATCACAGTGTCACATGGATCCCGGAGTGTCACACAGCGGGACCGATGAATGTAAATACTGTATATAGTTACTATAGAGTAAGTTTATCATTTTATGAGTAAGTTTTATTTTGTAGAGTAATTTTTATGAGTAACGTTAAGTTTTATTTTCTAGAGGTGTTTTGCACATTGTTGTGTGGTTGTTGGGATGTTTTTGGTCATTATCAATGCGTTGATATGCAGTTCATAGGTTGTTCTGAGTGTTTTTTAGCGCTTTGCTATGTGGGTGTCGGGATGTTTTGGATGGTTTCCTGTGTGTTGGCATGCGTTTGCCAAGGATTTTTGCGCGGTTGTTTTGCGGTTGCTGGACTTTTCTGAGTAGTTTTTCATGCTTTGATGTAGTTGTCAGGATGTTTAGAGTGGTTGGTTGATATGCGGTTGCTTTTAAGCAGTTACTGTAGGTTAGGGAAGGTTAGGGTCCCTCACACGGTTTGCAGCTTGACGTGCTGTGAGGGCTTGTGTGCATCAGTGATGCTGAGAGCTACGCCACTGGTACTTCACAACTACTGGTAGGGTCACCCATAGAGGACAGGTCTCAGCTGAGATGCCAGACGAAGACAAACCACTGATTCTGGACAAGAGCAGAATGACCTGATGTTTCTGGCAGAAGATCACAGTCTTGTAGCTGGATGGCGCCTTGCATGGCTGACACCGCCGTCGGTGTATGAATGCAGTCCATTACCATTACAACGACAACAACATCAGAATTACCTGAATGGAAGAAAATTGAGCCAATCTAATCTTTCAATCAACAGCCTGAACGTACGGTGAGTATATAATGTTAAGCAGCCGTTTACCTCTCCCTAGCATCAGCTGTTCCAGTATTGCCGCACGGAATAATGTCCGACATCCCGGAAATCCAGCTCTTTCCTTCAGACGACGAACTGACGAGCCTTCCTGAGACACCGACAGTCACACCCCGCGTGAGATCGGATCTTACGGATCATCTTCATGAGTGTTCTGGCCGAGAAATCCAGCGCTCGTATAAACCACGTTCCAAAAGGCAATAACCCTCTCCTCCACCTTCAAGATCGCCAGTTTTAACTGAGCCTCGTCCATCTTCTCAGACTTCATCTCTCCATTCTACCGCTGCTACACCGATTCCACCCATTTCAAAATGTTCAGTCATCAGCTTACGTCAAGTCCTCTCCAGCTCCGGAATCCATTTCTCCCGCAGATCATCAAAAGCTCAAATCTACGATCTTTTCATCAGTTCTTACAGTTCCAGCATTCCATCAAACACTTCAACATCTTATAAAGGTAAGACTCGCACATTTTCTACCTCCGTTTCTCTCCCGGTTCGGCGTTCTGAACCCACACAATCCCAACGCGCCGATCCAAAAGCCGCCGGCGCCGCCCATAGACAGTAAAAGAAATGGACAGAGCGATCTCATTGGAACTCAGTTGAGACAGTTGAAGCCCACTTTTAGCGATTTTTGAGAACTTCCGTTCCTGACGCGCAGACTCAGACCGACTCAAACTAAGCTTGATGACGTGAGCAACCTGTCTGACAGACGTTAATCTTCTAGTAGCTGTGCGTGAAAACTGCCAACGTTAATCTGGCAGAGACGGGGAACTTGAGCAAAGAGTTCTTTGGCGTGAGTGACAAGGAGTAAGTATTCCGTTGCTTTTATGGACTCATTATCTATGGGCTTCTCCCTTGACGGGATGTCCCCCCGATTGCCTGCGAGCTTCTCCTCCTGTCTGTACGGTAATTTCTGTACAGCGCGACAGAGAGTCGAGTGGTTATGACGCAATCGTTAGCCTATTTTTACTAAATCTGTTTCTACAGGGCCATAATGTAACATAGAAGGTAATGGAGCCCTTTATACATTGTCGTGTTTCTTTAAAAATAAATAATGGACAAATGGAGTCTTTAAACGCCTCAGATGTAAAGTTATTCGCTGTCAAAGTGACGCCAAAATGAATGGGAGTCAATGGAAATGCTAACGCAAGTGAAGTTCTGCTACAACATGGCGGCACCCGGCCGGCTTCAACTTCCGGTCGATGGATTACCCCCTTGGCGCCGCCGCGGCTCGCACTTCCTTGTCCGCCGGTATTTCCACCCGGCCAGCAACAGCGGCCGCAAAAAACAGTTCCGCTTCTTCTCCAGCTCTCACAAACTTCATGCAGTCAGCAGCACCCCCCAGGCAAGAACCAAACTCACAAAAACATTCCTCCGCACTTCCCTCTGCTTCTCCGGTTCTCTCTAATCTTCTTTATAATAACCCTTGTGCCAGGTCACCCTCGCACACAGTTACATTGATTTCTCTCACCCCCAAACCAACCTACTCCAAGAGCGGATCCTAGAGCGAGGTTGCCTTCGCTAGCCATCCCCCTCCACCTTCATCCATTCCAATTCACCTCATTCCTTTTTTCCCCCCTCCTATCTTCCAATTGTCTCCTAATATTCTTCCCAGTTCACATCCGAGCCAGAGGTTGCCTCCGCAAAGGATTTCTACACCTTTTTTTCCCACAAACCCTTCCCTTCCTCTCACTTCAGGCCATGCCAGCCATCTTGGACACCAGTCAGTAATGGGACCCTCCGATCAACCTTCATCTACTTTTCTCTACACTAACACTTGCTCTCCAGGTACAATCCGCTTGCCAGCCCATTCACTTTCCACAGCAGTCCATCTTCCAGCTCCTCCAAATGCAGTCGCCATGGAACCACCTCCAGTCCCAGCCCATCTCCGTTCCCTAATTCTATCAGGTGCAGACATTGATCTTCCTTCTCTACTGACTTCTGTCCCTCTCAACGAATCCCACCGCTCGTTCGACTGCGGCCCATTAACCATCAATCTCAAAAATTCCATACAACCTTCAAAACGAGTTCTCACACTTGCAGAATTCTGCATTGCTTTTGCCAGATACACAGAAGTAATTTGCACTTCATTTCCAGCCAGACGCAAGGAATTAAATGACTACCTCTCTATCATAGCAGAGTTCAGTCTCTCTCTCGGAGGTAGTCATTTTTATACAATGACTAAAGCAAACAATCACAACATAAAAACAACATCTAAACAACACCAGAAGCTCAAAACTATAATAACCATGTGTTGTGGTTTTCCTCCAGAGCATTATGTGGTTGATGAAGTGAATAAAACAAATTTTCTGACTTGCATTTCTATTGTCTGACTATGTTTTTATCTTTATATGAATCTAGAGTGTGGGTAGAGAAGAAGACAAAAGGCAATACATTATTCTGATTGCTTTTAAGGGGTTTGCTTTTTCACCCACCACAAAAGAATACATTAAAAAAAAAAAATTATTAAGTCAATGTGGTCTAACTGTGGTTGTTTTGGACCCCAATGACTTTCATTATATTGAAACACTCTTTAGAATATCTAGTTTTGTGTTCCACAGAAGAAATAAAGGCATACAGGTTTGGAAATTATGACAGCATTTTTGACTGAACTGTCCCTTTAATGTCAGTGAGCTTGATTTCCTGAAGGCCATTTTAAAGATTGCACAGCTTTTGAACATGATAATCGACCTGCAACCCATTTTCAGGGTTGTGATCTACCAGTTATAAGCACACTGCCCAATGAATAGGTTGTTAAAAAGTTTAGAAGAAGCTTTTAGAATGTAGCTCACATGTAAATATTTATAATAAAATAAAAATAAGCAAACATAATAAGCTTTCAAATGTTTTCCTCCTTTATGTGCTTAAAAGTTTGCTGAACAACAGATTTTGGAATTGTATTTTCAACCTTGACCAAGGTGGCACCTGTATATAAAAAGTTGTGAAATAGTTGTTTTGTGTGAAAAGACGAATGCAACAGAAGACATTTAGCTTTAAATATTTAATTTTGATCTCATTCATACTTTTGAGAAATAGTTTTTTTCTCCAGTCACCACTGTAATAAATTAAAATAGCAATAATGGGAAATGGAAACAAATAATAATACAAATCAATATCGCATGAGTTCATGTTTACATAATACTGTACTTGAAACAATGAATCAGTCCTCCATTGGTCAAAGAGCTCAATCGTCAGTCGCTGTTCTGTCACAGACATGGACATTTGTTTTCATTTCTCGTTGTTGTATTTCTGACTGCTGACACATCCATAGATTTCCCACTCTCCTATTTAACTGAAGTGTCGTCTGCTGAGGGAGTCAAAGCGGAACAAGAAGAACAAACAACAGGTTTACATGTTATTTTCATGATTCTAATTGGTTACAGATGGGAACCAATAAAACATTTTAGATTTTTTTTTTTTTTTTTCTGTGGTGCCATGTACTTACCTATGCTTGCAGGGTCCACAATCTGGACGGGAATGGCCTGTCCGTCCTCCAACAGGATCTGTGTGATGCCACCTTCAGCTCCGGCATTAGTCACCTGGGTCACACTCACCAGCTGGCTCATGCCGAGCAGGGTCGGGGGGTCACACAGAGATATGCTTTCGCCACCACTGCCACTTGACTGGAGGAACTGGGACGGACTCAGCAGAACAGGCTGTGGAGGTGCAGGGCTGGACAGCTCTTGGGCTTCTGGTGGGGGTGTAGGTGTAGGTTGGGCAGTGTCTTCAACTGGACACAAGGCAGGCTGTAGCTGGATGGCCTATCAGACAAGAGGAGAGCACTCTTAAAGGATAAGTTTGCCAACCAGCTTTGTCCCAGGCAACAGGTAACATTCTCATAAATGAAGCCAGGCAAGTTATGAACAAACATTATTCCATTAACGTTAATAGAACATTTGTTCAAAGTTATATGGTTTTAAATAATGTTCTCAAAACTTTAGCACAAAAACAATATGTTTTTTCTTAAATATTTTACTTGGATGTTTATCTAACATCTTTTTAAACGTTACAACTTGTTTCAGAATGTTCAGAGAACATTCAAAAGTAACCTTCACATAATGTTTGCAAAATTATAAAATTGAATGTTCCCTTAAGGTTCGCATTAACCAACAAAAGTTTTTAAAATGTTTTTAAAAAAATTACAGGTTTTGAAAGCTCTGAAATAATGTTTTCATAAGTTAATGGGAACATTAACAAAAAGTTCAAAACAAAAATGTATATAAAAAAAATACGTAATCAGGTTTTCAAGCATTTAATTTGAATGGGTTTTTTGTTTCTTCAATTATACTATCAGAACAGTTGATCACCCTGAAACTTTTTACATTTATTCAGAAATTAAAAACTTAAAAAATTAATGCATTAATTTAATAAATGAATAGATCCATATACAGTATATAAAAATGATCAATTCAGGACAGGGTCACCTGGAGATGTGCAAAGATCTTGGGCTGCAGTGAGGTGAGAGAGCTGAAGAGCTGCACAGCCTCCGGAGAAAGAGTGTCACTCTCTTCCAAGAGTCCTTCCTTCTGAGAGGACACTGTCAATATAACAGCAGTACACTAGATTCTGTGGCAGGGTAAACAATGCTTGTACTTCGACTAGTTATGTGCTTTCTTTTTGAGGCAGGACCTTTCCTCTACTCTCTAAATTGTATTGAATGATTCCAAGATGTTAAAGGCTGGAATACACTACACAACTTCTGAACAGATTTTTAAACTCTAGGCATCATACACACGCTGGTGGAAAAACTGGGCATCATACACTACACTAAACGACTGAGGACTTTCAAGTTGTATCAAACTAAACAAAACTCAAACAAAAACATGCACCTTATTGCTTGTGTTGTGTTCTAAAGTCGACTTAAAATTCAAACATGTTTGATATCCTCCAAATGGATGGAATCACAGACTGAAGCTTAAAAAAAATCATAGTATACGCCTATCATATGGTGCGGTCTCAGAAGTCGGATGTGCTGGTAATGACGTCACACTCGAGTTTACCGTGTTCCAGTACACAAGTTGGAAAACCAAGATGGACATGTCCAGGAAAACCTTTGTTGTGCTTGCTCTTTCGGAATACAAACGGTGCACAGATAATGCTGAAGAATCACGTTCACAAATAGAGGTTTGCCGCACTCTGCCGTGAGTTTATTGAAACGCAGACAAACAAGTGCTAATAAACTATATTTTACTACTGTTTCACTTACTGTTTATGCGCTGAGCAGCCATTTTGGATTCTGAAGTCGGTTGTTGTGGTTCCTCTGAGTTGTAACTGCAACTTGAAGGTTAAAAGTTCCTTCTGGGAACTCTGAATTTTCGACTTTCAAGTATAAATGGACCTCACCAATACACTACTTTTCTGTGATTTCGGTCAATACGACTGCCCAAAATCTGTTACGACTTTCAACAACTGGTGTGTCTCTCTCTTATTAACCATTTCAGTCATATCCAACTCTTGGTGATTCTATGGCCATCTCTTGCCATACAAAGTACGTTTCCAGGTCTTTTCCCAACCCTCCACATTACATGGCTTGGGACTCACACACACGCGCATTCACAGCTACAGACAATTTTTAGCGTCTCCAATTCACCTACACTGGGGGAAACCCACGCAGACACATGAAGAACATGCAAACTCCACACAGACAGGACTCCTGGTTCACCCGGGACTCGAACCGGGGATCTTCTTGCTGTGAGGCGACAGTGCTACCCACTGAGCCACTATGACAAAAATTCTGTAGTGTATTCCAGCCTCAGGTCATTACAAACGTATTGATTTAATAATGTATGTCGGATTTCAAACAATATTTCAACAGTATTTTACCATCTACAGTAGCAGGAGTCAGGGTCAAAGTCTCTGGAAGCAGGTTATTAGCCTCTGCTTTCCACTGCAACAACAACAAAAACATAAAAATAAATGCTTACTACAGAAAATGGTTGGCATATTTGTGCTCACCAATCTAATGCTTTACAAACATATTTTCTGTTCACACCTCTGTATCCGAGGTAGCCAGTGGTTCCGCCGTCAGCTGAAGAGCTTTTTGAGCCTCATGGATGTGGTTCTTGATGTCATTGACAGTGGGAAAGTAACACAGATTGTGTCTCTCAGGCACATCCTCTGACTTGAACATCTCATGTTCCACAAACCTCCTGCCAGGGCGTTCACAAAGCAACAGTAAATCGTTTTCCAGCAAATAAAACAAAGGAGATTTGAAACCATCTGAGTCATACCTGAGCTGCTTGCGGACAGTGTAAACCTGGTTATGACCTTGTGCCACCAACTCACAGATCTTCTCTGCCACGAGCGGGTGTAGTCGAGAGGGTAGGGACGCCCCATCCTCCATCATGACATCCTGCATGGCTTCACTGTCCAGCTCCTCTGTCTCTTCCTCTTCATCGTCATTTTGTTCTTCCTCTGCAAAGCAGATCTGCTCTGGGAGTGGAGGCAGGTTTGCAGTGTCCACGTCATGGTACAAGTGGGCTTTCTCTGTAGGGAGCTGGATGTAATACCTGTCACGAATGCAAATGAATGAAGTGAACCTTGCAGTCATGTGATGGACTGTAATGGCTAGATGTTTATACCTTACAATGCCTCCAGCATCCCATAAACTCTTCTTGAGGTTGAAGAAGGCTTTCTCCTGCTCTTGTCGCACTACCTTCTTGTCCACTTTGGGATCTGTTGGAACCTTGTACTCCGGGAATTTTCGTACTTTTTTGATATATATTCTGAAAAATGGTTGAATATTACAGTGTGGGTTTCATAATGAACTTCCTGTGCACAGAACAAATCTGTTGTGCTTGGCCCAACTGTAGGTTGTGTGTACCTGGCAGGGCAGGTTGCTTTGTAGAGGATGTTTTGATTCGTTTCTTGCTCTGACCCTTTTTTAGGTTGAACGCCCTTCCTCCGTGGACCAAACTGGCATTCCATCACACTGGCTCTGCTACCTTAAAACCATATTAAAGATCAAGATAAAATGACTTTGTGTGCATATTGTAAAACCATTACATTATCTGCAACAACAGCATTCAATCAAGGCATGTCCCGCCTTGACATGCAACATGCTATTGCAAGCATTCTCATTCTAGAAACAATTTGATTGAACAAAAATCTGGACACATTAGTATGGAAGCTTGTTTACAATACGGCATAGAATAAAAAATAAAAAGGGTAATTGAGACTAGGGTAATTATCTCACAATTCTGACTGTTTTTCATGCAATTGCGAGTTTACATCTCAACTTTTTTTCTCCGAATTGTGTGATATAAACTCGCAGTTGCGAAATATAATGTCAGAATTGTAAAAAAAAAGAAGTAAAAAAATAAATAAAAGTCAGACTTTTCTCAGAATTGCAAGTTTCACATGTCATGATTCTGCCATGTTATTGATTATTCCTAGTCTTGTGGCAGGATCATGACAGAACCAATGTTTTGTGTACAAGCGCATGGCCAATTGTTTGGCCATGTGCTTGTGTTGTCTCGTTACATTACCCCGCCCCCTTGTTATCCTCGTCTCGTCATTGTCTAGTCAGTTTCACCTGTCCTTGTCATTAGTGTTCCCTTTATAATCCCCTTGTGTTTGCTGTCCTGTGTCGGTTCATTGTTTGATATAAGTGACATACGTTGTGTGCATCTAGCTGTAAGTAATCTGTAGTGATGGGCAGATCGAGGCTTCGTGAAGCAATTAAACAGTTGAAGCAAACGTGCCATATTGTTTCGAGGCTTCGAATCAATCCGACACCTGTCTCCACGGTGACACCTAGTGGTCACTTGCAGGTGTTGATCTGAAACAACTTTGATTTTTAATACAACGAGCCAATAAAAAACTGTTTTTTTTTTTTATTTGTATTTTTATTGTATGTTTCTATTATGAAGCTTGTAACCTGTAGTCTCTTCACATTGCATAATGTTATTTTGGTCATGAAAAATGAATAAAAGAAATCAAGCCACAATGTCTCACTTTCTTATAGATTTTTATTCAAACATATCAATCTCTCTGCTGTCGAAGGACTCAGCCTACTTCTTTTTTTACAGATAATTTCTCCAGCCTTTGAAAAAATCCTCTCACAAGGGACACTTGTTGTTGGCATGCAAAGATATTTTGTTAGCAAGGACATACAAATGAGGAAAGATTACTGCTCTCTCTTTCCAGTAAGTTAGGGGATCATGAGTTCTGGGCAAAAACGCATCGTTGAGGAATTTTTTCACTTCCACTGTGGCATCAGCTGTAGCATTGTGTATCATCTGGGTTTCACAGATGTGATTATCAAAATGTTCCCATAAACTGTCCTGTGTTTCTACTGGTGTTGATGATGATGGGCCTGATGTTGACATTTGTGGCTCTGAATGAAAATCTTTTATATGCATCTATCTATTAATCTATGTATATATCTAATAATATATCTATGTATCTATCTATTAATCCATGTATATATCTAATAATCTATCTGTCTATATATATATTTCTATCTATGCATCTATTAATGTGTCACTATATGTACTCTGTCTCTCAGTCAATGTGTAAATTTAAATGGAAGCCTAAATATAACTAAACAAATCGCACTATAAATGTCACTATATCACCAAAAATCCGCTACCTCAAAACCAAACTCCTTTCACAAAAACCCACAATGTGAAAATGCGTTGACTTCACTTTTATACTGTGTGTGATAGTGTGATCTTTCCCGACCGACCTGTCAATCAAACCCTGACTCGGCGGAGCACTCCACCTGATGAAACACTCAGAAGCTTCATTTAGCCGTAGTCACGTGACGTGGGTGTTTTGAATCACGCTTCGGATCAGTGTTTCGAATCATCTGCGCTTCGGGATCTCGCAAAGCTTCGGAACGACTGTTTCGCGTCAGCCATCCCTAGTAATCTGTTGAGAATCTGTTATTCAAGAAGTGTCTGTTCCTGTCATAGCTGTTAGTTATTTGTCTTCTTATCTGTCAAGTCCTAGTCGTGTTGTTAGTCTTTGTTTTTGCCCACAAGTCAAGTTTTGCCCCCTCGTGGGTTTTGTTTTCTGTTTTGTTCCTCAATAAACCCTGTGTGAGTGCATTCAGTCTGTTTCTGGGTTCATCTATCTGCATCCACATAACAGAATGAACCGACCACAACCGAACCCAGCAGACGTTCAGTCCGTCTCCGCTTGTCTTCAGCCTTCTGACCCGGAACTGTGGTGGCGCTCGGCTATCTCTGACAGTTCCAATGGCAAGCTTCCTTTCCCTCCCCAGGGTGAGTTGACCCTGAAGAGGTACGCCCAGGTCATTGAGGAGAGGAGGTTCTTCCTGCCGGAGACCCTGGTCAACCGCTACCTCGTCGCTGGTCTCAGAGTCCTCCCTCCTCTTGCTGAACGAGAGAGTTTGGTCCGCCGTCCGTTTCGCAACATGGTGGACTACTTGTCTCGGAAGGAGCAGCCAGGTCGACCTGGATCTTCACCGCCTGCCACACTTCCAGTCATCCCTGAGGGTCGCATGTTAGCCGTTGTGACACAGGAGGGCCAAGCGTCTTCCACCCTGACTCCCGGTCCACCACCCGTGTCCGTCTGCACCCGTGGAAAGCGTGGAAGACATTTGTCGTGGGAGTCAGCATCGGAGTCGTCCTCCACGGAATCCCCCTTGCCTGCGGTGGTCTCGCCGGTACCTGCTTCGGCTCCCTCTTCGCCCCCCTTACCGGTCTCAAGCCTGGCTACGGACTCAGCTCCGCGACCCAGAAGGAAGAAGAGGAGGAAGGGAGCCTCTTGTCCTCCATCTCTGTCTCCCCCAGAGCCCACTACTTCAAGCGCCGTCCATGAGCCCGCTCCAGCCAGCGCCGTCCATGAGCCCGCTCCAGCCAGCGCCGTCCATGAGCCCGCTCCAGCCAGCACCGTCCATGAGCCCGCTCCAGCCAGCGCCGTCCATGAGCCCGCTCCAGCCAGCGCCGTCCATGAGCCCGCTCCAGCCAGCGCCGTCCATGAGCCCGCTCCAGCAAGCGCCGTCCATGAGCCCGCTCCAGCAAGCGCCGTCCATGAGCCCGCTCCAGCTAGCGCCGTCCATGAGCTCGCTCCAGCAAGCACCGTCCCAGAATCTACTGAGAGACTTGCGGCCGATCTAGCCGCAAAAGAGGTTCTGAAATCGGTTTCTGCTCGTCATGAGATGCCCATCTTCCTTGCTGCCAAGACCCTCTCTGATTATTTGTCTTGTCTAGCTAAAATCCTCGAAGTCCCTGTCTGTCCTGTCTTGTCCCCAGCCCCCGAGCCTGCCGCTGTGAGCGCTGCACCCGAGCCTGCCGCTGTGATCGCTGCACCCAGTCCTGCCCCTTCGCCTGCTATGTTCCCCGTCAGGAGTCCCGTTTCCTCACCCTCTGTCTTTGAATCTGTTGCTGCTACCACTGAAGCAGTACCCCAGTCTGTTTTCCCGGTCTCCCCTGTCTCCACTAATTCCCGGACTGTTTCTCCGTTCGTCCCTGTCTCCACCAGCCCCCGGACTGTTTCCCCGTTTGTCCCTGTTATCACTAGTTCCCGGACTGTTTCCCCGTTTGTCCCTGTCGCCACTAGTCCCCGGACTGTTTCTCCTGTCACCACTAAGCCCCGGACTGTTTTCCCCAAGACCTCTCCTCGTGTGTCTCCGTCTAAACCTGCCCAGAGTCCTCGTCCTCGGCCCTCATCCCGTGGACCCAAGACCCCCAGTCCTCCCATCCACCCTGGACCTCCCCCCATGAACTTTGTGTTTCCTCCACCCCCTCTGCCTTGCATGTTGTTCTTGATGTTTCACCCGAACCCTGTTATTGTTTATTCTTGTATGCCTTTGTTGATGTTCACTATGTTTTGTTGGTTCTTGTCCATGTCTCGTTCAGTCTTGTCTTGTGCTTAGTGTCCCTTTGAGGAGCGTCTGGAAGCCGCTCCTTAAAGTGGGGGTTCTGTCATGATTCTGCCATGTTATTGATTATTCCTAGTCTTGTGGCAGGATCATGACAGAACCAATGTTTTGTGTACAAGCGCATGGCCAATTGTTTGGCCATGTGCTTGTGTTGTCTCGTTACATTACCCCGCCCCCTTGTTATCCTCGTCTCGTCATTGTCTAGTCAGTTTCACCTATCCTTGTCATTAGTGTTCCCTTTATAATCCCCTTGTGTTTGCTGTCCTGTGTCGGTTCATTGTTTGATGTAAGTGACATACGTTGTGTGCATCTAGCTGTAAGTAATCTGTTGAGAATCTGTTATTCAAGAAGTGTCTGTTCCTGTCATAGCTGTTAGTTATTTGTCTTCTTATCTGTCAAGTCCTAGTCGTGTTGTTAGTCTTTGTTTTTGCCCACAAGTCAAGTTTTGCCCCCTCGTGGGTTTTGTTTTCTGTTTTGTTCCTCAATAAACCCTGTGTGAGTGCATTCAGTCTGTTTCTGGGTTCATCTATCTGCATCCACATAACATCACAATTCTGACTTTTTTTCTCTCTCGCAATACAGGTCCTTCTCAAAAAATTCGCATATTGTGATAAAGTTCATTATTTTCCATAATGTAATGATAAAAATTAAACTTTCATATATTTTAGATTCATTGCACACCAACTGAAATATTTCAGGTCTTTTATTGTTTTAATACTGATGATTTTGGCATACAGCTCATGAAAACCCAAAATTCCTGTCTCAAAAAATTAGCATATCATGAAAAGGGTCTCTAAACAAGCTATTAACCTAATCATCTGAATCAACTAATTAACTCTAAACACCTGCAAAAGATTCCTGAGGCTTTTAAAAACTCCCAGCCTGTTTCATTACTCAAAACCGCAATCATGGGTAAGACTGCCGACCTGACTGCTGTCCAGAAGGCCATCATTGACACCCTCAAGCAAGAGGGTAAGACAAAGAAATTTCTGAACAAATAGGCTGTTCCCAGAGTGCTGTATCAAGGCACCTCAGTGGGAAGTCTGTGGGAAGGAAAAAGTGTGGCAAAAAACGCTGCACAACGAGAAGAGGTGACTGGACCCTGAGGAAGATTGTGGAGAAGGACCGATTCCAGACCTTGGGGGACCTGCGGAAGCAGTGGACTGAGTCTGGAGTAGAAACATCCAGAGCCACCGTGCACAGGCGTGTGCAGGAAATGGGCTACAGGTGCCGCATTCCCCAGGTCAAGCCACTTTTGAACCAGAAACAGCGGCAGAAGCGCCTGACCTGGGCTACAGAGAAGCAGCACTGGACTGTTGCTCAGTTTTGCATGTCATTCGGAAATCAAGGTGCCAGAGTCTGGAGGAAGACTGGGGAGAAGGAAATGCCAAAATGCCTGAAGTCCAGTGTCAAGTACCCACAGTCAGTGATGGTCTGGGGTGCCATGTCAGCTGCTGGTGTTGGTCCACTGTGTTTTATCAAGGGCAGGGTCAATGCAGCTAGCTATCAGGAGATTTTGGAGCACTTCATGCTTCCATCTGCTGAAAAGCTTTATGGAGATGAAGATTTCAGTTTTCAGCACGACCTGGCACCTGCTCACAGTGCCAAAACCACTGGTAAATGGTTTACTGACCATGGTATTACTGTGCTCAATTGGCCTGCCAACTCTCCTGACCTGAACCCCATAGAGAATCTGTGGGATATTGTGAAGAGAAAGTTGAGAGACGCAAGACCCAACACTCTGGATGAGCTTAAGGCCGCTATCGAAGCATCCTGGGCCTCCATAACACCTCAGCAGTGCCACAGGCTGATTGCCTCCATGCCACGCCGCATTGAAGCAGTCATTTCTGCAAAAGGATTCCCGACCAAGTATTGACTATTGAGTGCATAACTGAACATAATTATTTGAAGGTTGACTTTTTTTTTTTTGTATTAAAAACACTTCTTTTATTGGTCGGATGAAATATGCTAATTTTTTTAGACAGGAATTTTGGGTTTTCATGAGCTGTATGCCAAAATCATCAGTATTAAAACAATAAAAGACCTGAAATATTTCAGTTGGTGTGCAATGAATCTAAAATATATGAAAGTTTAATTTTTTATCATTACATTATGGAAAATAATGAACTTTATCACAATATGCAAATTTTTTGAGAAGGACCTGTAGTTACGTTATATCTTGCAATTCTGACTTTATTTCTCGTAATTACAAGTTTATAACTGTGAGATAAAATGCCGCAAATATCTTTTAAATTGTTTTATTCCATAATGATTTGGTCTGTTTCCCCCCCAAAAAAAGATCAACACTGTAAATTTTAAATTCACATACACTGCTTTTTAAATGTTTGGGGTTGGTAAGATTTTTATTTTATTTATTTATTTTAAATAAGTCTCTTAAGCTCACCAAGTCTGCTTTTTTAAATCAAAAATATAGTAAAAACAGTAACATTGTGAAATATTATTACAATTCAAAATAACTGTCTTCAGTTCAAATATATTTAAATTGAATTCCTGTGATGACAAGTACTCATTCTGTCATCATTCTAATGCTGATTTAGCTGATCAATGTTGCTGCTTAATCTTTATGAATGCCTTCAGTCATTTTTGATTTATTTAATGCATCCTACTGAATAAAAGTATTTATTTATTTATTTTAAATCATACCTGCTAAAGTTTCATTTGCTATTTTTGTCAGCCAATACCACTAGCATTCAGATGTCCCCAAAACTACAGACATCGATTAAAATTCCAATTTTGAATTATAGTCAAAACTCACAGTTCTGGCATTAAAATAACATATAGACTACATGACTAAACAGCTTTAAGACTTAAATAAGGGTATCTCAGATACACAGATCCCACAAGCAAAAAGGGCCATATTACCTGCATTAACAAAGGGAATGCCATCGTAGGGCACATACTGTGATTTCCACATGAGTCTGGTGGCAGGTTTAGCCGGTGAGGGTGATTGGCGGGTGCCAAACACAGCGTGAGTCTGCTGCTTGTGTAGAAGCTGAACGGCCTCAAGCTCTGCCTCTGTGTTACAGTAACCACGGTACGATTCTCCGATCTTCTGCTCCTCGTCAAACAATCACACAGAAAAAAGATTCACCAAGCCACATTAGCTTGACATCATCAGATTGTGTTGCTGTAAATGGATCTGTTTGACAGAGGGCTCTACGCACAATAGAAAGTACAATGCATTTACGCTATTTCCATGCATATTACACTACTTTTTTATGTTTTGTTTTTTTTACATTTTTATAAGTGAAAGTTTTGTCCAAAAAAAAAATCAATTTCTCCATTTTCCACTGGACAAACCTCACACCCACGCAGTCTTAGAGCCCAGTTTGGTGCCCCTGGTGGCAGTGGCTTCACTGGGGGCTCAAATACATCAGGAGAACTGAAAGAAATGAGAAGACATTTCAATAAAACTGTCAATAATTTAAGGTACACTTAAACTCCAGGAATAGGGCATGGCCTGAAGCAGTTTTCTTGTTGTTCAAGCAAGGGATAAATTGAGCCAGAACAGGAGTTTAATTGGGTAGTTTGTTTGTCAACCCATTCCATATGCATATGAATGCTTTTTTACTAATCCAGTACATATTTTCCAGCTCCATATTTGCGTAAGACTTGTAAAATCTGTGTTCTTCAAATAAGTGTTTTTCAACATTTAAAACAAAAAATGTAGTTTATAATGGTAAATGGTAATAAAAAGCAACAAACACAATAGGAAAGTTCATCTTTCAGATTAGATACAGAATGTGACAGATATAATGATGTGCAAACAAGGTTTACTGACCCTTTTTTCTGAATTTTAATACCAGTGACACTCTGAGCCGCTAGTGCGGATAAACTATGGGTGCCATCATTGTCTTTTGTGGATGCGATGATTGGCTGCAGTCTTTTCTCCACAAAGATTCCTATTTAACAGAACAGAAAGAAATGGCAGAACCGGACAGCAACTAATTTTCTTCATTATTCTTTTCATTTTCTGTTTATTTTATTCATTCTATTTAATTTCTTCATTATTAGATGTTAACTATTCTATTATATATGCATACACATACACACACGCTCACCAGCCACTTTATTAGAGGACATTTGAGTGTGGTGAACTGATGATCTGAGATGAGCTTTGTGACATGGTGCGTTATCCTGCTGGAAGTATCCATCAGAAGATGGGTGCACTGTGGTCATAAAGGGATGGACATGGTCAGCAACAATACTCAGGTAGGCTGTGGCATTTAAACGATGCTCACTTGGTACTAAGGGACCCAAAGTGTGCTAAGAATACCCCCACACCATTACACGCATTCAGAGATGCTCTTCTGCAGACCTTGGTTGTAACGAGTGGTTATTTAAGTTTCAGCTTGAACCAGTCTGGTCATTCTCCTCTGACCTCTAGCTTTTTTACTTATAGAATTGCTCTCTGCTCACTGGATATTTTCTTTTTCTGACCATTCTCTGTAAACCCTACAGCTAGTTGTGTGTGAAAATCCCAGTAGATCAGTAGTTTCTGAATTACTCAGATCAGCCCGTCCGGCACCAACAATTCTGATGCTTATTTTTTGAACTTCAACAGATCGTGACCATGTCTACATGCCTAAATTCATTAAGTTGCTAGAGTTAGATATTTGCGTTAACAAGCAGTTGAACAGGTGTACCTAATAAAGTGTCCGGTGAGAGAGTGTGTGTGCGTGTATATATAATTAGAAAAGCAATAGTCAGTAATATATTTAATAATAAAGAAACATAATTAATTACCAGATGAGTTTGCTACTTTCAACAGCTGACCGTGAGGCAGTAACATCTGAGGTCCCCCTACAGACACAGATGGGACACCGTACAACTGTCCATTCTCCCCTTTCACGATCACCTGAAAAAATGCATCCGTCTTTGAGGTGGGGAAAAACTGTCATAAATATATAGTTCAAAATGACTTAATGGGTGGAATACATAAGGTCAAACTCATATTTTAACATTTTGGTATATCTGGTGACTGAGTCAAGTACATGGGTGATACACATGTCGTCTAGTGTGAGTAATAGCCTATAGTTTATGGTGATGAATCATAGTGCAATTTCCTTACCACCCGCTCATACTGAATAGGATGTCCGTTTTGATCAAGTATAACTAAGTTGTCCACTTGTTCCGGGACTGTAGAGGGCTTCTGATTGGCTGCTACAGTTTCTGGGGCTGGAATGACTGATGGAAGCACTTTTGCATCTGCATTTTCTTTAGATTTGGAGTTTTTGCCAGGTTGCTGATACATCACAATACAACAATAATAAATAGTTTGATCACAAAACATTGACAGCTGATATTTTACAATTATTATTTATTGCTATTTAATATTTAATGATACATTTTGGTAAAAGTGTAAAAAAAAAAAAAAAGTGTCTAAAAAGCCCTAGTCGTATTTCACCAAAAACCATAAGAAATTATACTTTGTATACAGTAACATTTATGAGATTCTTATACTCATTACTTTAATGCCCAAAAGCGATTGTTTAAATTGTATTTTCACAGTATTATCACAGTAATATCTGTTGCACTTTTAATAAAAAAACTGTTTGATAATAAATTATTTTGTAACAGAGCAAAAAAAAACTGTATTACAGTAAAGAGAATAATCAGTTAAAAAATGTGAATAGTTAAATTAAAATGTCAGAACACATGAAAATAATAATTTGTGGAAAAATTGTGCTGAAAATAATCAAATGAACTTTAATAAAAAATTCTTCATGGAAAATATAATACATTTTTATTACATACAATTAGGGATTTTGTGATTCCCCCAACTTTTGTTTGTTTGTGTGTGGACATTTAACATAGGCTAGTCCTTTAGTGAAGAGTGTGTTATACTAGGATTATTCAGTGCTGTACAGTTTTTCTACTAGTCTACAATTTTCCTTACCAGTCCAGCTCGTGTGTCTGCATACTGTAGATCCTCTCTCTCTTCAGTCTTAAGAACATCTGTCACATCTCTCTCTTCCTCCTCCATTTATTCTATCAGACATAGTACATAGCAGTCAATATTACTATGGGGTAATATTTTTGTGAATTTAGTACAATGAGAAAAAAATAATTGTGATGGGTGTCAAACTGAACTTTAGTAGTTGGAGAGAAAGATACCCACATTTAATTCATGCATGTGCTATTTTTGTTTGTAAGGTGGCCATTAGAAGTACGTACAATGCTTCATGAATAAAGGAGCAATAAAAGGAGAATTTGTCAGATATTATTTTGCAACTCATTACTCTCCATCTCTAACATTTCAATTGGAACGTTTAGGCAACACTTCTTGTGTTTTATGCTTTGTGAGTAATAATTCATGTTTATGGAGAGAAGAGCGTTACACAAACGCGACAAATTAACATAATTTTTCAACATAAACGCCATATTGGATCAGTGCTCGCTAGCGCAGCAGTTCCATGAAAACACAACATGTAAAAGAAAGAAAACAGACAGATATCTAGCGTTAGACTGAATTTAAATCATGTTTTCGAGTCAGCTCGCTCTGACCCCGTATCCAAATGTACGGGATGCAGTCGAGCCCAGGCTTTATATACAGGAAGCACCTAGAATTGAAAACGAGTCTACTCAACCTCGTCTTCGTCCGGGATTCCTCACGCCAAAAAAACGCGTAAACTGCGCATCATCCGCCTGCAGTTTGAATCCCCGCGGCTTCCGTAGGACACGACGCGCGCTCTCTTTCACTTTGAGCTGTAAATCAGTTCTTTAAGGAAACGAATTTCTTTCATTTAAATATGACAAGAAGAACACGTTTATAAATGTGGAAAATAACTCGTTTGTCCTTTTGCTTAACAACAAAATTGTACCTATGTTATGTTGTTTCAATGTGTTTGTTATATTCCCCACATGTAAATGCTTGTGTTTTCCACATAATGAAAGAGTCAAATTGAAACCGTTTAACAACATTTTACTAACAGAGCAAACCAACTAAAAATCATTTTAAAAATATGAAAATAATAATTTGTGGGTAAAATGTGCGTAATTGTCCTGAAAAGTGATCAAATCATTTTCTGATCCGAGATTTTCACGTTGATCTGTGAAATGTGCTGTAAAAAAACACCTTTCATTTAATTTGACAATGTGGGGGACACTTGTTTGTCCTTTTGCTTAACAACAAAATCAGACCTTGATGTTATTTCAATGCATCATTTGTATAAATAAATAGATAGTCCTCATATAAAAATACATTTCTGTGTTTTGCACATTAATAAGAATGTCAAAGTGAAATAATAATAAAAGTTCGTCGTACTTGCATAACGTCATATGAAGTAGGCTACTATTAAAAGTCATTTTTTAAATAAAAAACAATAATACATTTTTATTATATTTTACTATTATAAATAAATACTTTGAATTACTAAGGAATATTGTTCTTCCATCCATATTCAACGGATGACTTGGCGAAACAATAAAATTGAACATATTTGTTGTTATACATACGTCTCACCGGTAAGGGGCGCTATACGTCTTAACAAAACAAAATGTACCCTATCACTTCCCTAAACCCCTCAAAAATATACTTCACAAACCCTGCGTTTGCTTGCTTGGACAAGGAGACTTAAATAATTGTTCTCAAATTTTAACTAGGGGAACTTCGTCTCTCTGCATTCCTCTAGTCTAGATTCTAGAAAAAAACAAAAAAGTAAAAGATGTGTGTGTGTGTGCTATGGACCTGTAGGTGTCTGTATGACTGTGTTGAAGCAGCTGATCCTTTGTCAGGTCTAAACTAACAGGACCTGTTTGAGCTGAGCCTTTAACAATGAGTCTTGCACGCTCAGAGCGAAGAGAAAACGTGAGGAATCTGGGCCTATGATCCCAGGCTGGGAGTGTGATTAGAGGCCGAGCTTCCCCGGGGCCTCAGTGGGGCGTCCGGCTCTCGCTCACACTCAGAGTCTCACACCGAGGTTTTGATGGAACCTGTCAGCAGAACCATTTTGAGCTCACTGGGAGAACAATTTGCAGTTTTTTTCCCGAAGAGATCCAGCACTGGTGCATTATCATACAATGTCATATTTCTTAGTGCATTCAATCAGAAACCCCTGTGAGACTAAACACACGCCATGTCCAATTATGTGGGCTCCCCTCGGACAAGCTTCTTTCACCCCTCTTCCTTCTTTTAGTTGCAAACAACAAAAGAGTGCCATACGTGTGCCTGCAAGATCATAAATGGTCTATTTCCTGCATTTCTCATGGTTCATTCTGTCTGTGGGGTTTAAATGCAACATGAGGCAATGAGGTGCTGATGCATTGTGGGATTGATGTCTGCGACTGACCTGAAATACTGCTGTGTAATGGCCCTGTCTCTGGCGGGGGGGATGAGGTGGGGTAGGGAGTCACTGGGGAAAAAGCCCCTGTTTGGACTGCCCTCCGTGTGAACATTTTTGCCCCTACATTCACAAAAGACCTTACAGAAAAAAAAGAGTGAGAGAAGGGAGGGGGTGTCAGTGGACGACGGCTGGAGAGTTTGCATGACTGAACCATTTCAAACACCTTCCAGCTACACTTGTTGCACACACAACTGTGTGTTTGTATGGCGCTCAAACCACAGCAGGATTCATTCATCAGTTCATCTGTGTTGTTCTAGTTAGTGAATGGAGATATCAATATGAGGATCACTGGTTTAAAATCTGCCCAGAATTAAATGAAAAATGTTTGTGATTTAAATGTGAAAATTGCCATTTTGTAATGGCGATTGTATGTAAATAAGCACATATTTGTTCTTATGATTATGGTAAATAATCATCCATTGGCATAAACTTTTACATTTCTTTCAATCTGTTTTTCCAAGCAGTTTGTGTGAAATAAAGCAGTGTGCAACATTTCTATATACCAACTACACTACCGTTCAAAAGTTAGGAAGATGAAAGGTTTTTTAATAATATTTTAAAGAGGTCTCTTCTGCTTAAATAATAATAAAAAAAATGTGGTGAATAGAAAGTTCAAAAGAACTTATTTGAAATAGAAATTTTACTGTCACTTTTGATCAACTTAATGCATCCTTGCTGAATAAAAGTAAGAATTTCTTTTTTTTTAAAACATCTTACTAACATCAAACTTAAGACAATATCATACTGTATTATTATGATGCTAAAGCATATAGAATTTAGTGTCAATCCCTTTTGTTTCTGCAAACAGTATTTCATATATTTTTCCCAAGACTTTTCCCCAAACCAATCATATTACTAGTTATTTGCCTGAGGACTGAAAATAAATGGTCAAACTTTTATGAAGACATGCATCATTACAGCCTGATTTCCACTAGGTGGCGTGTGTGAGTCCGTCCAAAAACACATGTTCGAGATCTACTGCCAAAATACAAATATTTTCATTACTCCACATTTCTTGTTCTCAGCAAGAGATGAAACACATTTTTAATGATGCTTAAGTTTGGAAGGTTTAGTTTAATATTCTTGAGGTCTCTTTGATACCAGCACCAACTAATGATCACACTTCACATCATCCAACAAAGACATGTCATTATTGAAAAAGCGGATAACCCCAAACTCAACTCGCACGTCAAATAACACCCTCAGACATTTGGAGCGAGTGCAACTTTATTCCGTTGAGTCCCATAGATGTAACAACACAGGAGACTACATGGTGTACAGTATGTGCACAAACATCCACTGAGACAGACAGCATACAACACAGTATCCCATCATACATCACTGTCCCTGTGTTAAGTACATATGGATTGTTAATATCTGACTGATATTCCGCTCGAATTAGAAAGAAGGCCACTACCCATATAAAAGTATATTAATATTGGCCCTACAGCGAGAGATTTCTCTACTTCAATACGTATCCTAAGGAGATATACAAAGCGCTTGATAAAACATTATCAATTTGTGTTTGAGCAAGAGACGCTAGGATTCTTGTGCCGTTGCCAGAAGAGATTGCTGCTTTTACATTCCTGAGTACTGATCTACGATAGTAATCACAGGCTGTGAGCTTATTTCAGTTCAAACATGGAGGCCCTGTACTGATTCACAATGCTGGTATAAAAGTGCTAAAATATTCCAGGTTTATGTTGTATTTTAGCCTGGGAAAACCCAGACAACTTCCGGCAAATTTAGATTTGCTCTGAAAGTTAGTCTGGCAAAGAGCTCATTCAAGCTCATTTCCAATCCGTCGAAATCGAGGCACCAATCAGAAACGTTGGGGCGGGCTTTACACGATGACGACAGCGCTGGGATTTTGAAGCAGATTTTGTAGCCTACATTACAAAGATGGATGCCGCCGGCGAACATCACTCGTTCGAATCAGCTATCGTGTCTGTTTTAAGCGATTTGAACGTTTCCTTTTTGTTAAAAACCGAGCAAAGAACAACACTCTGAGATGTTTCTCCGCCGCTCTGCATACGTCATCTCCTTCATCGCTCTGATTGGTTTTAGGTCTATCCGCGACGTCCGTTGGTGACGCCCCTCTGGAAATGATTTGTCTATGACGCTTTGCGAGACCAAAACTCAGTTACAACTGAGAATGGTCTGGTTTTAACCAGGCTAGTTGTATTTTGCTTAAAGCTCAAAACAATACCTTAACTTCAACAGTGAACAAGAAAAAAAACAGGAACTCTGCTAAAATGCCTCCCAACAAAACAACTGTGAGGAACCCCACCCTGCACACAAAGCACAAGCGCACAGAACACGAGCGAGAGATGATCACGAGCCGGACAATCCGTGACCTGTGCGTTATCCTGGCAACTGAGCTTTTAGCTGGAAATCCTAAATCACTCCTGTAACTGATGACCGATGCAGCGTTCAACTGGTACAGTGTTTACTCATTTCAAACCTGTATGACTATTTCTTCCGTGGAACATAAACGAAGGGATTTTGAGAACGTTGGCAACCGAACAGTTTTGGTGACCATTGACTTCCATTGTATGGACCAAAAAAGACCAACAAAACACTGAACACATTTCTCAAAAAAATCTTCATGTTCCACAGAAGTCAGTCAAGTCATAGGGTTTTGGAAGGACGTGAGGCTGAGAGACTGATTTTTCATTTTTGGGTGATCTATCCCTCTAAGTCGCCTTATAATTCCATCTTTTCTATCTACAATGACTTGACACTGAGCCACAGGAAATGTTTTCTTTGGCCAAGTCTACAGAAGCACTTGCGTGAGCTGCATAAAACGACAATCTTTCATCAGACACAACTTGATTTCTTACAAAATAATGATTAAAAACAACTACAGCACAGGAAATCAGCCCAAATGCTCAACAATGATGAAAATGACATCAACGTAAGCAGCTTAGTTCATTTAGACACGGAAACGGACAGAAAATCTGTGCTGTTTTTAATTGCTTGAATCTAGTGATACACACACACACACACACACACACACACACACACACACACACACACACACACACACACACACACACACACACACACGCACACTTGACTGAAATTTCCAAGACTGCATGCATTAAATCAATCTGGTGACAATAATGTGCTCTGACTTTGTAAACTATTTCATTGGATATCACAGGAAACATTACATGAATGTTCTGATCTGAATTGGTAACTACCTGGACATTTTATGCGTTACATTTTCGCAATTCGATTTTGTTCTTATTGTGTTCTTTTTTCCAAACATTCCTGGAGCTAAATCGGCTTAATCATTGTGAGAGGCGAGAAAACACTCCATCTGTCTGTCCACCCAGATCCTGTCGTGCCCTCCTCTCACTTTGTTCCCTGCTGGGTTTGAAGGTCAGAGTTTGGACCCATATGCATTTGAAACGCATTTTACAGCTATGCAAACAAAAAGAATCAGGTTTACAGGCCACTCGTCCTGTAGCCGTCAAACGTGGCGATTTCTCTCACACTCGCTATTCTTATCTTTAACACCTTTCTGTCTCCTCGCCGCCACCGCCAGTGAGAAAGGTAGAGGAGAAAAGGCAGAGAACCGGTCCCTCCTGTTCCCCTGCTGCTTTTGTCTGGACTGAACGGAGAAGGCCTGCAACTGTGACAACGATTCAGTCCGAGAGACCTTCATCAACCCAGAATTCATCCTACCAGGTCTCTTGGTCTCACTTGAAATGGCATCATTTGTATTCAATGATGTGCTGGTCCTAGTACGATAGAAACGATTCTCGCAAACGCGATCCACTGCAAACTATTATAAAATATACATTGTGTCTCACAAAAACAGATCCATGTAGCCACTATTCATAGTGATCCGAGACACATTCTCAGGTTCGCTCTATGAAAGGTAGAGCAATAATATAAAGCTACATACATTTATCCCAAACCCAAAACCCCCAAAATGGCCTCTTTGTTCTTTGAGAACAAGCACAAAGCTAAAAATGTGCATAGCGAAAGGCAACCGTTTCATCTTCTTTTCACCCAACGAAAGCCGTCGTTTATTAATAAACACTTTGTTCTCCGAGAGTCCGATTTTTTTTTATCACGTTCGATTATTGAAATGTGCAGAGTGTGTGGATGCAGTTGCTAGGACGCTCGACGAGGGGCGTGTCTAACTCTCTGACAGACAGGAGGAGGGGGAGGAGCCTGAGGGCTGCTGGGAAAGCATGCAGGTTCTCCGCGAGACTCTCGGCTCGGGTTCGGGCGTGAGGCGGGCGGCGCTCTGGTTCTTGAGGTTGTTGAGCTCCTGTGTGGGCATCAGCGGCTTGGGAATGCTGACCAGGCAGAACGCGGAGCCGCTCTTGGGGATGAAGTTGACCTTGTTCCTATCTGGGCACAGGAACTGTGGGATCTCTCGTGGAGGCCTGGCCCTGAGGAGAAGAAAAAGGAGAGCGATAAGACGGTGAGAAGCACTGACTCAGCTTTGAAGTCGGTGTAAACGTTACGCTATCATCATTTCAAGGCTCATGCCACAACACAACAGTGGAGAACAAAGTGCAGAGAGAGCAGATAAAGCAGTGTTTCAGGACACACTGCAGCACTCACTGTGTTTCCTCTGTGAAGACCTTGACTCGCTCGCAGCCCTCGGGTGGCTCGCGTTTGAACATGTAGCTGTTGTTCGGCTTCGGGGATGAGGCGTATTTGGGTAGCGGCGAGATGGGGGCCATATCTGTGAAAATGGTACAAGAAAAATTGAGTAGAATGACAATACAACTCGGACAGGCTTATCAGAGAAGGTGATATGTGTGCAAAATTCAACAGAGAGCTGAACAATTAGTTGAATAATCAGTCTTAAGAAAGTTACATCCACCAAAAAACAGCTTGATAAAGTGCAGAATTATTTTGAAATTGACGCATCTTAAAAATGCAATGTTTATAATGTGTGCGCAGCTTTGACGTCCATCTACGTGTGAACACAGATCAACGTTTACAGACTGCACAGCTCTTCAACAGAGTAACACAAATATGTAGAATTCATATAACCCTTTATTTAAAAAAAAACAACTATCATAGTACTCAACAAAAAATGGAGAAGTATGAATGAGTCAAACAGCAGATGCTATTAGCATGCTAAATAACTCTGACACTCTTTAAATTAATCTCTTACAAAATGTGCAAATTGCTAAAATATTAAAAATAATATGAATAATATTATTAAAATAATATGACTAGTGTTATTAAAATAATACAATTATATTATTAAAATAATAAAATAAATGAAATAATTTTAATAATAAAAAACTAGCTGATTGGTCGATAGTAACGCGATCACACGTACTCGGTGTATGGGGAGCGGCGATACGGATCGCACATTTTACAAGATCAGATATTTATCAATGTTGCGCACCAAATCCTCCACCATAGTCCTATCAGTTCTCTCTCTTATCTTATCTTACCTTCTTCACATGATAAGTGAAATCTGATGTCCTGTAACGTAACCGACTACCACAGCAAGCCTAATGTCCCTTTAGGGGCTCCGTAGAATGCGGTATTCATTTTCTGTGCCTTTCCGAATTCAGAAGTAAGCTTCGGGCACATCCCTATTGTCAAAAGGCCCTATATTATATTATATTTACATACGCAAGTGGTCACAGGAGACATTAGAAACGCATGATAATACCAGATGTAATGGTGATGTGTCTTGGCTGACCATTTGTGATCTGATCACTGAAAACGCATCTTAATACCAGGTGGAAACAGGGCTTCTTCAACATTTGTTTTCCAGGATATTGCATATAATTTACGGGCCTCAGGAAACCACTATCAATATGCGGGAGACGTGGAATACGGAGAGAATGGCGCGACTGAAAATCTGAAAAACCTTTTGTTAATGTTTGTAGTCAACATTTTAAACTGGATGACCATGAACACAGAGTTTTAGGCTAGACGAAGGGAAAAAACTGAAAGAAACTGCCGTTCTGTCAGTTCTCCCTGAAGCGAAACGCTGTCAAGTACAGGTTAGAAAGCTTTTGCCATAGTGTTCCATTTTTTCCATAATGCTATTGAAAGGGCAAACAAAGTATGAAGTACCAAACAAAGGTTGAAAATCGGCGAAGTTACACTTATATATATATATTTATATATATGTATGAAGCTTTTGGCTACTAATAAAAGCACAGCACTGTCAGCACCATATAACAAATTTGAGCATGTTTAAAACCATTCCACACATTTTCATACACATCAATGCAGAAAAAGCATGTGCAGATCTGTGTGGGCCTAAGGACATGTGAACAGCCCTGAGTGTGTGTGTATGTGGGTGTGAAAATATGTGAGCTGTACCTTTCTCACAGCCGTCAGCCAGAGTCTCGTCCTCGTGGGGAGACGGACTATCGCTGCAGGGCTCACTTGGCACGTTTAGGAACGTGGGTGAGATGGACTGAGAACGGCTGCTGCTGTTGCTGTGGTTACTGCCCGCTGCGGTGCCCAGGGGCGTCTGCGTGTCGATGCTGCGGGAGCTGGCACTGCGTTGGCAGAGGGGCAGAGGAGCCCGATGCCCGTCTGGAGCCTCCTGAGGCTGGGCAGAGAAAAAGTGCAATGATTATAAACAACAGAAACAAAACTTTAGTTAAACACACACAGTGTCTTTAGGGATTCTATGAGGAAACCTGATTATGTAACAGAGAGTGTGTGCTTGACATGATTCAGCAAAAACACTCACAATAAGCTGCTCCTCTCTGTCTCCTGTGTCTCGGATAATGATGCGCTCGATCTCCTGATTCAGCCCCTCCACGCTGTTCCGGAAACGAGAGACGGAAGACTTGGAGATGGGAATAGAGATCAGGACACTCTTTGGAATAGGAGCCTGAAACAGGAGATAATGAGAAGGTGTGATTATTTGCTGTATGTGATGTTTTAAAGTAGAATGTGTTGAAGCCTTGACCTAGTGCTTTCTGCATATGCTTGAACACAATGTTGAGTACTTGAGTCCAAGTCGAGCTGTGTATTTTGTATGATATGTATTTGTACTGTATATTTTATGTTGTTATAGGCTATGTTACCGATAATATATTATTAAATTAAATGTGTTTTAGGTTTATGCGCATGTGTTTTTTCCCCTAGTTTGTAACAATGAGTGATCAAGAAGCATCAGAAAAGCAAAGAAGATAAATGCGTGTATGTGGTTGGTGTGTGTGAGTGAGTGAGAGCAGTACGCATAACACAGAGAAACAACCTCAAAATGAGAGCAGATATGCCTCTGTAAGTAAACACTGCCTGTGTGAAAACTTACAGCAACAGCCCTGCATATTCACACATTGTCAGCACACACTTCAGTTACCATATGATGCTAAACACTAACAGGGTTACGTGTTATCACACCACAGCATTCAGACACATTGCATGGTAACGTGTTGGTCTCCTCCGCAGATCAGCGAGTTATGTAACTCGGTCTGCCTAGCAGATTTCTGATTCTCGCTTGTGTGTCTGCGGAGCACACCTCACGACTGTACCGGGACACAGATAGATAACATGACACATGCAAAACGCGCTTACCGAGTTAAATCTAAAACGTGCCATCTATGCTAACAACTGCTATTTGCAACGACTTTCGTTGACAGATGAAAGACTGAACAAAAACATCACCTTTCCAGAGAGTCCACTTCCTGTCATCCTGTCAGAGAGAGGTCCGGTCTTCCTCCTGGTCCACCGGTCTCTCTTTCTCTCTCTCTTCTGTGCTCTAGATTTTAGTTCTCTCGGCCCCCCTCCTTCCTGTCTCTCTTCATCATGTCTGCCCCCCCCCCCCCCCCCCTCTCTCCCTTGTTTTGATCTTTCCTCTCAAAGTGTATTTCTCCATCTCACCCCCTTTCTTAAAATACATAGCACTGCTCTCGTCGTCCGTCCCTCCCCCTCTTCTTTCTCAGGGTACGAGGGAACAATGCGAGGGCATTAGCAGGACGTTGCTGAGAGCTGTGTGGCCCTGCGGTGGCCCTCGCTTAAAGCATGCCAGATCTGCTTCATTACCATCTCAATAGAGCAAGCCAGGTTTTAAACTCACATGCAGCATCACTCCATGCCTCTTTCCTCTCCGGCATGCATGTGTGTGTTTAATCGGACATCACATTGTTTCAACATAAAAGTCTTCTGGACTCTTTTCTTCTGGGTGGTTTGGTTATTTATCTGCTCATCAGGATAGAAAACAGCTGAGAGAAACCCTGACCCTCGAGGTCACCTCGAAACAATACACCGGTTAAGTGATTTTGTCTATTTCCTAGCAACTTTCTCGCGAGCGGTCGCTAGGAGGCAAATATTTGTTTACGTATAAGATTTCCAGCGGCGGGCCGTGACATTAACAGAAATAATGTACGGCCTGACCACAATGAAGGACGACATGATGCTACTCACTGTCAGCGCCAGTGATCTGATTGTCGTCATCTTCAGACATGACAAGAAACACGGGCGGCTCAGCACTTTGGTGACGTCTATAGAGGCCGCATAGGATTGCTAACAAACCCATGCTAACCAGTTGAACACAGATATTAGCCATTTACTTGGGAGGTCTCGATTAAGGTTCATTAACCACAGGAGCAGAAAAATCTATGCTTAAAATAGACAATGGCAGACAAAGGTTGCAGAATGTGGAAAATGTGTTTACAGTTGCGAAGTAACTGGAGTGGCGACTTATTTTTCTCCTCTGTACTGTGATGTACAAATGAAATTGATTATCAAATAAACAAAAACAATATATGGTTGGGACATGGTCATATCATTTGGTTGTTGATCGGATGAAGGCAGATCTGAATGCAAGCTTGGGGTTGATTGTAAGAAAGGAGTTTAAGTGGACTAAATAATTAATAAGTCAGACAGAGCAAAGCCTGGCTTAAATATGAACCCTGTTCCAAAATGCGAAGGCTGTTCCAAATGCTTATACAGCGTAACAGTGTCCATCCACTTTTTCAGCGTCCTTGCGGTTACGGCTACTAACTACGAAGTGAATCGCAACATTACATTTTAAAAAAGTTTAAAAGACGAAATGAAAAATGTACAAGACTATTTACTTAGTGGCTTTGAAGAGGGATGAAGCACTGTGAATGAAATAATCAATAATAGATACATATAAAACTATTGATTTATGATTTTAATTAGGTATATAGAAACAATATATTTTAAGTTTGAGACTAAGTAGTTTTGAGAGCGAAGGGAAACTTCATCAGCCACCAAATCCCATGAAGCACTGCGATTGACCTATATTCAGAGTTCTCACGACTCTGATTGGTGGAGCTTTTTGTACACAATCATGGGTAATGTAGTTTCTACCAGAAATTCCACTGCCGAACAGTATTTCAAGACAGGCTGATGGATTCTACAAAAATATATACCATAGATTAACAACTTCGGAGCTCACAGCAGGTCTGCCTTTAAAGGTTTATAAGTTATCATTAAAAATCAATTCCCATGTGGAGAAAATCAATGTGATTTTTACTTACAAAACCCGACTGTTGAACTCTATTAAAGTATCGCAACATTAGCATTGCAACATGTTCAAATGCTAGACTCTACTGGAATCAACTGGGAATGGCACCAATCGCAAGCGTCATGCGAGCAACGCTATTTGTGAGAGTTTCTATGAAGCATGTCTCAAATCAGTCACTTATGAGGCTCCATTTTAGTTGGATGCTGCCTTAGAATTTAACTACAACTGAGGGCCGAATGTACACTGCATATATAAAAATAACTTCATTTTGCCCTGTTCCTTTTAGTTGTACCAAAATTACAAGGATTAAAAAAACTCAGTGTCCATGGACACGCACAGAAGCCTCAGTAAAACAGTGAAAGTCTTCCCGACAGCATGTAAAAGGCTTTTCTTCACTGGTATGGAGGCCTGTATTGGTTACCACAGTCTGCCTTTAAAACGAGAGGTTAGACAGAAGAATCCCTTTGAAAGGTCTCCAGGCCTTGATAGCTATACTGGGCACTTTCACGTCAGCCTTTCTTTGACCACTATGGTCTTTATAAAAACAAGAGATTCATGGGGCTGAAGTTGTTGACCGGTGCTTAACTAAAGGTTTGTGTAGAGACTTAAAGGAATGACCCCTCCAAAGCCCCACGCAAGCTCAAATGACTCGCAAACGCATCTCTTCTGTCTCTCTGGATTCACAACATATTCAGGTTCAGAACCACTGAGATCAAACAAAACCTGAGAAGTTCCTATTGTTGTAGTCACTGTTTCAGTAGAAGGTTAGAAAAATACAAGTCACAAGTGATCAAAAAACTTAATCCATCAGAAGTCCCTGCCAATAAAATTCTGCACAAAAAAAAAACACATTAAAATTCTCAGTAAAACCAAAAAAGGAGATTATGATAGAGATTAACTTCAGCCTGAAATATTGTAAATATAAGACTTTGAAATGAGATCAAACTGAAGCTAAAAAGAGTAGAGTACATCATTTCATCCAAATGCTCTAGCGATGGCACACACACTGCCTCTGCACTCCTCATTTCTGACACTAGCAGGCGCTGTGGACTCCCACACAGAGAATGGTAAGAATGCAGGGAAAGATGTGCTAAATCCTTCAGACACAAAAACAGCAGTCAAACCCAGAAAGCAGCCAAAAACTGTTAATTATTTATCATCGAACACAGCACTCGACAGACAAGAAGAACAGAGGAGATAGAGAACAAAGCCAGGAGGTGTGCGAATTACTAGGATCCTTTATCACTGGCCTTTACCCTGCAATACATCACACATGAATGATCAAATTCTGAATGTCATGGAGATCTGAGAGACTATCGAATCTGCCAAAAATCGACTAGGACTAACAAACTGCAAAACCGCAAAGTGCTAAGCGCACAGTACAGTCGTGCTAGCTTACTTAGGGCCAAGCTAATATACATAGCATGACTAGGGAAGATAAGCAGACTAACTTGGCACCACTTATTGTTATTGATGAGAGTAGATGTTATTATTTGAGTTTTGATGTAAACCAAAACGAGGGATGGAAGTAGAAGCCATGCAATGTGTCATGCTAACTTAAAGGTATCATGTAATGCATTTTTCAGATCTTTCTATATTATGTTTCTGGAGGTTAGCTTATAATAATATAAACCAAAAAACAAACAAAAATTATTTTACATCCTCATTTTCACTCTCAAAAACACCAGGGATGTTACCAATTTCAGAAGTGCAAGTAAATGCCCGCTGCTGTATTTCATTGCACATTTATAATAGCAATGGTCACATAAACTACACCGGCATATACTTCATGCACTCAACTGTTTCAGCTTATCTTGCATAGTGGAAGAGAAGGGACTATCAGACGCTGTTGTAGAACGATGAAATCACTCGTATACTAGACCAGGGGTGTCCAGTCCTGCTCCTGGAGGGCCACTGGGCTGCAGAGTTTAGCTCCAACCCCAATTAAACACACCTGAACCAGCTAATCAAGGTCTTACTAGGTGTTGAGGTAAGTTGGAGCTAAACTCTCCAGGACAGTGGGACTCCTAGAGCAGGTTTGGCTTTAAGTTTGTCATTTGGGATGGGACACATCTCATGACTTCTTGTCGACTCGAAATTTTTGGAAAGACATGTTTCAAGGTTTTGTTACTGGCTGAACTATTGACACACAGGTAGGTACACAACAGTACAAATTGAACAGACTGTACAACCGCCTTGTTTTTATTTATAACAAATATAGCATCTCCTCTAAGTATGGCCTATGATCAAGTCTGTCGTTTCTGCAATCCGTGACAAAGCAAAAATTCCCAAGCCTGAAGAAGAGACAAACATCTCCACAGCTGTTCACCCGTGTTTCTGTGTCTCCTCTGATGTTGTTCTTCTTTTCTTCTCATGGAGCTGCTGACCTTATGGCCGGATTTCTCATAAAGGTCTTCAAATGCAACTTTCATTCCTTCTCTTTTCTTATTCCCCCTCTTCAGAGCTTTTATTTCTGGAAAGAATGCCATTTTCATGACTGCCACTTCATCTTTAGCTGCTTTCCACACAAATAATGGGGAGAACACCCCCATGCACACCCGACTCAGCCCTTGAAACCACACACACACGCACACACACACACCCTCCCCCTCTACACAGAGGTCACGTTGTGTGTGTTCTTTAGGAAAGTGCATTCACATCAGAGTTCCGAGACAAAAAGGAAGTAGAAGACTCAGAGACAGAGAGAAATGGAGGTTTACGATAAAATTTGGGGGTTGAACTTGGGCAGACGAAGAGCTTACGGTCACAAAACAATTGCAGGCAGGTCCTGTGATGGAAGGCAGAGAGTTTACAGTCTACATTACCCACTGGGCGTCACCCGACCCCAACGGCCCAGCCGAGAAACATCACGACCACTCAAGCCTGAGGCGGAGAAAAATGCCCCCTCACCTCACGTCCAAATAAATGCATGCTTGTTATAATTACCCAGCCTGGGCACCTCTCAGGCTCTAAACTCAACCTCAGCTGCTTCAAATTAAGGCTAATACACAGCAGAGAAACCCCCTGAATAAATAAACCTTCAAAAAACAAATCCAGTTCCACTTCGGATTCCTGTAGTTCTCTTCATAGCAGTCGGAGGCAGAACGGAATGGTACTGATTAATCATACACTGTTCAATCTACCCCACTTACATCTGCTGGAGGGGACGGCAGATGCACGTCTATGTTTGTGTATAACTAAATGATCACATGGTAGACTGGGTTCCTGGAATAGCAGGTTAGCATTTCCATATGCTTTCTCACACTGAGGCAACGCTGCAAATCTCTCACTGAAGAAAGCAAACAAGGCAGAAAGTAATTTAACCATTTTCATTTCCAAGTTGACACCAACTGAACGCCACTCACATGAAATGTAATGGAGTCATGTGACAGTGACCATTACCATTTTACTACGGTTTCAAATATTTATTGTGGAATAAAATAAATATAAATAATAATAATAATAATAATAATATAAATATTGTACCGTTTCACCTAATTATTTAAATAGGTAGGCAACTTGAAGTATACAGTATACTGCACATCCAATAGTAAGCTAGTACTCCATTCTGAACACAGATTTTAAGTGGGGATTCTGTACAGTGTACATCTGCGCTGGTCAAATCAGTATTCTTGTTGAATTCGGACCTAGCTGTGAGTAGTTTGGTGTTTTGTGCAACAGAGGGGCTGAGTCTGAGTACAGTTCATAGGATTAAATACAAAAGATGAATACAGTGAGACAACAGATGGTGCTTGAGCCCAATACATGCACAAAAAAAAAAAACCCAGCCGTACAACGGGCCCCAAAACCACACATCCAGCGGGCCGGACAGAGTGTGGCCTTTAATTGACTGGCTGGCAGCTATAGTACAGTAAAGACCAGGCGTGCGGCACATTCACCACATGCTGGACTAATTCATGGACAAACACAAAACAGAGCGAGAAAAAGACGGAGGCAGGGAGGGAGGGAGGGAGACAAGGCCAAGCGAGAGGCCACAGTAATTTATTCACTGTTTTTTGTCTTCGTGAAGAGAGGTCTTTCACTCTGAAACAGCCTGCAAGCCTGCACCTGGTCTTGCCAATTACGACCAGAGTGCAAGTACACACACACACACACACACACTGTGACACGCTTTTACACACTGGTATGCACACTTACCCACTCACGTTCTTTCAGAATGAGTGAGAGAGAATGTGGCAGAATAACTATGACTTCTAGTTCTCAACTACAACTGCATTGATGATACACGACGTTTGTGTTCAGTTTCTTCTTCTGCTTATATGGCATTAAGTGCACTCACTGCACTGTGCTACGCTTATGTTAACAAACAGTCTCTCTCTCTCTATTAATGTGATTTCTGAAGGATCATGCGACACGGAACACTGGAGTAATGATGCTGAAAATTCAGCTTTGACATCACAGGAGTAAATTACATGAAAATAAAACAAATATTTTAAATTGTAATAGTTGTAAAAGTTTTTTTTTATTTTATTTTAATTTCTATTGTATTTTTGTAATCAAATAAATTCAGCCTTGGTGAGCATAAGAGACTTCTTTCAAAAAGATTTGTAAAAAATCTTAGCGAACCCAAACTTTTGATTGGTGGTGTACAGTACACAAGCTATTATTTGGCAAAAATACTGAGAGACCATCAGCTTATGATGGGGGGAGGGGGCACTGCTAAAAACATGATCTATGAGAGCAAAACAGAGGCAAAAAAAAAAAAAAAAAAGGTGTTCCTGTTGGTAACTATCAACACACCACCCCAGGTAACCTTCTCCACCAGGTCTTCTGGGTTCAGAGCAGGTGAGAAATAGCTCACCTGTGATTGGATGAAAGCAGCATGGTTGCCATTGAAGGGAGATTTGCGGTCCTTGTCGCGATGGTGACGGCTGCTGTGTTTACTGCGCTGGAGCTGCTGTCTCAGCTTCACAATCTGAAACACGCAGAGAGAGAGAGAGAGAGAGAGAGAGAGAGAGAGAGAGAGAGAGAGAGAGAGAGAGATAGTCAGGACAGACATTATTTCTCACTTCAAGTGAACTTTCAGAGCACTGTTGCTTATATAAAAGACACCATAAAAGACCATAGAATAAAAAAAAAACACCCTACATGACAGTTGGTCATTATTGCAAAATAAACCCCTTCAGGGGTCAGCATGCTTGGTCCTGAGTTTATTGTGCTATAATGACGGTCTTATTAAACTCTAGTAATGGGCGAGTCAAAGCCCAGGGTCAGATGGCTTTGTTGATTGTCTCATTGCACTGCATTCCTCCAAGTATGTTTATAGTTTACACAAATAAACACCCCAACTCAAAAACACTTTACATTACGATTACATTAGTACTCTTTCCTTTATAAACATCCGTCTGTTAGACAGAAAACCAATACACCCTCCCGCTCCGGCGCTCCCTCTTTCTTTACCCCAGCCTAGGGAAGAGACGGGGAATACATGTACAGATGGGATCAGATGTTGAGTTTAAGTCCAGCCTCAAGTCAGTAAATACAGGCTATGAGCGACACCCTTAATGAGATGTTAGTAATCTCACCTAAAGCCTGGAGCAGCCAGGATGTGACAACACTAATTCCCAGAGAAGCATTTCTGACCAGGTCTTAATGTATATGTGTGGGCTTTATCTGTATGTGACTGTGGTGCAGAGGGGTTGGTGTTGTTGTTTGATGCTTGTTTGTGAAGTTACATGGTGTGATGCTTGTAACAGAGAAAACAGCTCTGTTCAAAAACTAAGAGAGAGGTCCCACAATGCCTACTGAGGCAGATCATTTCTAGGGGAGCATCCGAACTGAAACTCACATTTGACTGATTTGAAATGGTCTGCATAGGCAGCAAACAGCAGTACTCATGCAAACCACAATAATACTGCATTCAAATCATTTATCTAGGTAGGCAGCTCAGTAGGTTTCCATCAGATTTGCCTACAGTGTCAGTGTGTGAGTGCACATGTGACCTGCTGACTGTGTAGGAAATGATTAACTATGAAGTAGTACACACACTAGAGTTTAGAGTCGATTGAGTAGCGAGAGATGGCAGTTGAGATAAAGAGTGACAGGAAGATAATGTACGTACAGACACCTGTCTGTGCACAGCAGACATATACAAAGGGAGGAGACTCTTGAAGTGGTGGAGGAGAGGAAGAAGATAGCCTGAATAGAGAGAACAGTGTATGAAGCCACTGGAGGATGTGACAGGGGAAGGAAGGGTGCACACACAAACAGGAGGAAGGGAGGGTGTAATGCGAGGTGACACCAGGCTGCTTCTGGTTCACTAGAGACTGCCAATAATATGATAATGACATAGCCTCAATCTTCCCCTCCCCAACACCCTGTTGCTGCCCCGTCTCCTCATCCACAATCTCACACTGGGGGAGAGAAAGACAACGAGGGGGTCCAGCCCCGGCCCTGCTGAATGAAACAAAGCACGGGGGAGGAGAGGAGATCAGGCCCTAAACGCTATGTCCTGACCTCTTTTAGCTGGTCAGTGCTGCCGCAGGAGGCTGAGCGCTTGTGACAGCTCCTCTTCTTCTCTCCGCATTCATCGGCCCAGGCACTGGGGGTCTGTGAGAGACACACACATGAGACCATCAGACATGATCATCACAGCATCGTATTGTTTCTTGACTCGTGAGTATGCTGAGGCGGTCGTTTGACTCGTTTCCAAAATAAACACTCGCCAAGATCCAAAACTGGGGTTACCCACCTTTGAGCTAGTAGCTTTATTAGGAACTGCAACATTACCTGGTTTAAATGGAATTGTGTGAGGGATTCAAATCAACCTGATTGGCAAATTTATCATCAAAAGTTTCATTAGAAGGAGTTGTTGTTTTCACTTTTTTTTTTTTGTCTCATTAAACCAACAAAACCAAAATAAGAATGAATCATGATGTTTCAACAACAGGCTCATCTTGACAAGAAATATTTATGGCTGTTTATTTCTCTGCCCATTAGCAGGTGTGGCATGAAGTTAATTTTGTCCCTGACAGGACAGATCACTCCCACCCACGCACACATACATGAAAACACACACAAGTGAAGGCAAGAAGCCGAGGGATGGTGAATTTGAATTAGAACTTAAGATCCTGCAAACAAACCGCTTAATGCTCATCTTTACAGAATACTTGGTTGGTGTAACTTATCTGCAAACTTCCTTCCTAAATGTAAAAATGCAGCTGCTGTTGCCAAAGAGAGCATGGAGAGGCACACAGGGCATACGGTTTCTGGCTCTGAGCTTCCTTTGTGAAGTGTCTGTGTCGCTCAACAGTGGGAAAGCTCTCTACAAAGATAACCGCAAACACTTCAGCCAGAGCAGAGACACACACACAAATATAAACTTAATTTGCTGAAACTAAGAATACAGATATACCAATAATTATTTTTTATGTAATTAGCTGATATCTAATCTGAAGTTCAATATAATAAATCTATATTGCTTAGTCTATATTTTTAAACAGCATGCTTCAAGTGAAAAGAGGTAATGAGCCATTTTATTCTCTGATATATCATCCTTACAATCTTTTAAAGATAAAAAGCTAATATTGATTAATACTGATGTGGTCATTGACGCATCACTTGCAGGAACTATGTACACTATATACACTTAAAAAAAATATATAGCATTTGAAACTGGACACATTACGCAACTATACATGTTTCAAACAGTATGCTAGATTGTTGTCTACATTAATTTATCAAGTTGGAAATAAAACAAATACATTATTTTGAGTCCAATTTTAACTTAATCCAATTTGGCAATCTGATCAAATAATGAGTCAAGAAAGCAAAATTAACAATCATAATTGGAAGGTTAAGTTGTTCAAATTGCACTGTGGAAAGGGTAACTATATTCTTTGCAGTGTGCCTGGTTTTATTCAGCTCATTTTGGCAATTGTAGTAAATCATTTGGGTATTCCATGGGTAAAGAAAATGTGTACTGTATACTATGAACTTCCATACCACATACTAAAATAGTTAGTATGCAAGTAAAAAGTGCTCCGTTCACTCACTTAAAAAAAATTGAGTAAACTTAAAATTAAGTAAATAAACTTCAAGCTTACTCAAAATAATTATGTATTCCAAAGTAATGTGGAATAGGCTTTATGCACAGCTTCACTACTTCCTGAACTTCAGCCGGCCCTTTGTTTCCTGTCTGTCATTATTGGACAAACTGATTAATCCAGGTGTGCCTGATTATTGTTACTGAGGCCAGGCACACCTGGATTAATCAGTTTGTCCAATAATGACAGACAGGAAACAAAGGGCTGGCTGAAGTTCAGGAAGTAGTGAAGCTGTGGCATAAAGCCAATTGTCAAGTTCACATAACTTATTTTTTTATTAAGCATTAAGTTTATTTACTTAATAATTTTAAGGCAACGGGTTTCCTAAATTTTTTAAGTCAACTGATCTCTTTTTACAGTGTAGTACGCATTAATGCCAATCTTGTCAAAAAAGGACCCCAAACAAGAGAACATCAGCTCTGACAAACCTGCCTCAGATACCCGAATAAGAGCAGTAAACATGAACAACATTTCTCAAACGCGTTACAATACCCTTTGCCAAAACACAGCATTCTGTGAGAGTAGTTTAAAGTCGCTAACACACAACTGGGAAAGAATTTAGTCACCTACAGCTGAGCTCTTATAATCAGTACACCACGTCAGCCTAGTTATGAGAATCGCTCAGCTGTGAGTATGTACACATCATGGCCTTACTTACGCCTTCAAATCACTTATTGGCTCACAATCACACACATTACCTCTTTTCACCCTGCGCTCGTCCCCAGGTTATTGTCGTTCTAAACCCCCCTTTTAACTTTTCACTTATTACCGACTATTGCAACAAATTACCTCATAAAAAAACACATACACATTGAGTGAGCAAACATTTTGATGAGATAATTATAATTTATTTTTAAAAATATGTATAACACCCCCACCCCATCAAATTACCTCACCCCCCATTAAAGTTAATGTTTAAGTATTATTGTTTTTTTTAAGCATGGCATCAACTTTGGTATCAAGTATCGAGTACTTTTTGGTGGTATCGGTACAGACTACTAGATTTTTGGTATTGTGACATCCCTAATCATAACACACACTCACACAAAGATTTGTTTGTGAAGCTCTTGATCAGGGCTCGTCTTTGTATCTGGGTAAGCACAGCCTCCCACTGCTGTTAAACGGCACAACACCAGAGATTCAGCCTGTGGGTTTTCACCATAAACAACTCTAGATCATTCTACCCCCAACATACTCAACATGCCTGTACTAGCAAGTTCACAAACTTTCACTCACAACGTTGTAGGAGATTTATTACAGGACAGCTAGCCTATGGCCTTATTTAGATATCTGCCACAGATGAAGAGTGATCTTATGTTGAGGAGGTATGGAAAAGTAATTGCTTTGCCTCAGCCTCTCAGTCACTCAAAGGTGTAAGCCAAAACTGTACAACGCAGTACAGAAATAATAAAACCTGTGGCATTGGAAACAGCCTGGGACATTAGCTGTCAAAAGACAACCAATCAAAAACACAACACGGGAACATGCTCTTTTTCTGTGATGTGCATCATGATATTATGATAAATAAACTTCGCTTTTCTCGAAACCATTGTCCCGTTTTTTATATAGGTGTCAACACTCACCCATGATTAACAGATATGTTTTCACGCAAACATCCACATACACCATTAATTAGCAGGCCCATTCATCAGGGACGCACAAACATTGACTCACTTTCCTATGGAACACAAATGGTGACAAACGTGTGGGGAAACTAGTCGACTCCTCTCCTCTCTGTCTCTGTACAGCCTAAGGCTCTATCTCTAGACACATCTCTAGATGTGTGTCCCAATTCACACTCCCTTCAAACAAATGCTTAACATTAGCTGACATCACACACAAGTGAACATGCATTCAAGACTGTGAAATTAACTAAATTAATTTCTCTCGATCATTCTACCCCCTGTTGAATGCTTGAATCTGATTGGTTTACGAAAGTTCCAAGGTGTGCAATTATTTTCAGGGAAATGCACGCCTAAAGTAGTTCCAGGTCTTGACCGCATTACAGTTCCATTTCACTTGACCAAATGATTTCAGTTTTTTCAAAAGGTCCTTATACAGACCACAACAACAAAAGAACCAAAACCCACAATGACACTGTCCAAACAAATAAATATAGTAAACAATAGAGTGGTGCAGGTGTGACATCACTTTGTAGGCCAAAACGAGGAAGCGAGTTAGCATTTTAGCACTTTTGGTTCCATCGTCCCGAAGTCAATGTTTTTTTTTTTAATGGGATTTTGGTTAAATGGCTGAAATAAGGTGGTGAACACAAGGTCAAGAAACTTTCATGTTTTATTCTACGACATACAATATGTCAGTATTACCCTAATCGTGATTTTTTTTAAAGGGTTACAATGTCTTGAAAAAGGCTGTTGCTAACAAGTGGCTAAATCGGACTACAGAGGTTGTCGGGGACAATACATGTCAGCACGCCGAACAGGTAAACTCAGTCCACTTTTACAGCCTCGTTATGCTTATAATTGTGCTCTTATAAACTCAAGCGGTCTGGGAAATGTTTTTAGATAAAAACTGAAAGAGTTGTCGGAAGCTTAGACATGGTGACGTTGAACTCATGGGACCGTGGTGAGAGAGCTTGTTTTTAGAGACAATCCAAAAGCCAAAAATCCGATTGGGTTTTTGTCGAGACACACACTCACAAAGAAACGTGTTGTCAGCGCTGCTCTGATTAGTTTATCAGTAATATAGTTTAGCAACTTAAAAGCTACATGAATTTCTCACAAGCAAGGTAATAACGACACTGTTCTGCTGCTGCCGAACACTGTTGAGACGAGAGGCTTGGGATTAGATGGGTAAGAAATTAGTTCTACACACAAGAACGTTTTAAGGACAAAAACCTGACAAATGCCTTGAAATACATCATCTGAACAGTGTTTTTGAGGTGTGGTAACCGTAGTATAAGTGGAATAATTGACTCCGGGCTGTTGAATTATTACAAAAATAATGCACACCCAAGGCGTAACGGCCACTCCACTTCGGGTGTGCTTTATTTTTCTAATAATTCAATGGTCCGAAGTAAATTATTCCTTACATAAATATTCCTGGTCTTTCTGCATGATTCACAAATGCAAGAGCTAAATGTTTGCTTTAACCAAAATAACTTTTTTTTTGCCTCTGAACCAACAAGATTACATTGCAATTTTCCCAATCCAATCAAATTCCGACATAAAATCAAGTCCTGTCTTACATTACATATAGTTATTCAGTTTCACTCAGAAGTGCATCAGAATGAGAAACGGTAAAACAGTTTTTACAGTAAAACAACATTGACAACCCTTTTAATGTAATGTTTTTCAAAGTGAAACTGGATATTCAATGAGGAAAAAGAGTAGAGCGCGGGATGTAATTTTATTCACATGGATCATGAAAATTGGACATTACATACCAGGGTTTGGAGTCGATTAGGGAGGGCAACTTCCCTCCTGAAACACTCCTGGCACCTGTTGATTAAAATATTTGCTGTCTTGATGACGTCAATCGAAA